CCGTGTCTGATTAATCTCGAGTAATTTCACTTGGAGCATTCTCTCGGATATTTTAAAGTAGTAGGAAATAGTAGTACTATTACACCTACTATATTGATTTGCTATATTCGACGTGAAATTCCCGTGTCTGATTAATCTCGAGTAATTTCACTTGGGGCATTCTCTCGGATATTTGAAAGTAGTAGGCAATAGTAGTACTATTACAACCTACTATATTGATTTGCTATTTTCGACGTGAAATTCCCGTGTCTGATCAATCTCGAGTAGTTTCACTTGAAGCATTCTCTCGGATATTCTAAAGTAGTAGAAAATAGTAGTACTATTATACCTGCTATACCGACTTTTTAATATTCATTCTGGAATTTCCGAATCGATATGCCACTATTAGTAAGTCGCAACTGCGGAAATATTATTATAACTATTAGCCATTAATATGAATACAAATACCCCGACCTTTTGCCCTATTAATAGTAATGGCATAACTATTACCTACTAGTTATATTCATTAACTAAGCGTGTCTACAGCATTATTCAGCCATAGTTACAGAAATATCATTACGACCATGGAAATTACCTATTTATGACCTATTAATAGTTATCCAATTATTACCTACTAGTAGAGTCACTATTGCCTACTAGTTTTAGATTCGTTAACAAAGAATACCTACAAAATTATCAAGCAATAGTTGCGGAAATATCATCACATCCATGTAAATTGCTTACTCATGACCTATTAATAGTAGGCCTACTATTACCTATTATTAAAATTTCCTCATTCTCAGTAAGATTAATTCTCGAATTTACTGAGAGTACCAACTATAGTTGTAACTAATAGTGAGCCAAATAAAATCATCATCTATTTTTCACTATTAGCATAATAAAACTATTGATATTTAACAGTAAAACCCCTGAATGTAACGATACTGTCTAAACCGGCGATCCTGGAGTCGGAGAAGACGTACAATTTAACTTGTCAAGTTGCTGGCTCACATCCACGTCCAAAGGTGATATGGCTCGAGGGTAATTCAGCATTCACGAATGGACGCGTTAAGGAGACTGGAAATGCAACGGTCGTTTATAGTACACTCAAATTTTCACCCATACCCGAGGATCACAGCAAGCAGGTGAAGTGCAGGGGTGAAAATCCCCTTCTCACTGATGCCTTCATGGAGGATAGCTTTCACTTGAACGTTGTCTGTGAGTCAATTGCCATTTTTTACTTAATTTATCAGACGTAATCTCACTCACTATGCGATTTTTCCAGCTTAATCCTCTGGTATTCTTTCAAACCAATGACTTATTCACTACTCGCAATGCTCAATCACGGATAACACATTTTCTATTACGATCCATTAATCGATTAGTCTCAATCGCGTTCAATCACATTAGTGGGTCATCACGTCGATCCTTTAAATGTGTCCTCATTACCCCGAGTTCTTTTGCTTTTTTTAGCCAATCATATGTATACCGAAAATAGAATCATTTCATTACTTGAAATGACATTAAGTAAAATCATCGAGTTGATTAACTCTGGAGTGATGCCATTTAAAAAACCAATTTACGTTTTTAAAAATACTCAGAGATAATTTTCTGGTTGCAAACTTCGTGGAACTCGTTATGAAAAATTGGACGTATTTTTGATGAATGAAATAATTAAAGTGGTGTTGATTCAGTTCCCCCGAAGGTTGATCTGGAAATAGGCAACACTCTGAATGCTCAAAATATAAAGGAAGAGGACGACGTGTATTTTGAGTGCAAAGTTCGGGCAAATCCCCAGCACCACAGGATAACATGGCACCACAATGTGAGTAAAAAAATTATTATTCTCCAAACATTTTTATTATTTAACTATTACCTGACATCCAACTGTCAACCGGTGTTCATTTATTATTTCTACATCATGTGCTCGATTAATTTATTCAACCCCTAATTACCAAATTTTCTGTTGTTAAATAGGGACATGTTCTTATACAAAATTCAGCAGCAGGAATAGTCATAAGCTCACAAAATCTCGTACTGCAGAAAATAAATCGTGATAATGGAGGCAATTATACGTGTCTTGCTAGTAATGACAGGGGAGAGACGAGCTCAGCCGTTGTTCCACTTCGAGTGCAGTGTAAGTAATTATTAATTCAGGAGGGCACTAATTGATGCAGTCCTGCTTGGAATAGCATATTTTCAAATTCGATGTCCATCATTTCATGTTTTGGAATCTAATTTTGTGGGGCGGACCGCAAAACAAAAACTTTCACCCTTATTTTATGATTCTGAGGGATGAGACGAGAAAATTGTCATTGAACGCGTTTTCAGTTTTTGAAATGGAAGATGAATGTTTTTTAAAACTTTGTGATGCCGTTTAAAGTCTCGAAGGAGAGATTAAGAGAGATTTCACTTGAGAATGAAAATTTCAAGTCCAGTCTTGAAAGATTTTTTCAAGTTTTAGTATGACGTGTTGTGTAATTCAATTATTTTAATTATTTAATTTGATTTAAATTAATTTTTTTTTTAAGGAAGGGTTTCAACGGAAATTTAAGCTGAAAAGTCTCACGTTGAGACTTGAGATGGACTTGAAGTGTTTCATCGATCAAAATCCAATTTATGATTTTCAAATCCGAAATTCTGGGACTTGTTTGAAGTTCAGTCTGAGTCCAAGCATTTAACAAAATAAAAATTTAGGTGTTCAAGTCTGAAGTCCTAGGATTCTTACAATAAATTATTTTCCCTCGTCTCCATTTCACCCAGGTATCCCCTAGGAAATGGTGACGACATGAATTGAATGAATTTAATAATTGAAGTCCTAAGAAAATTTCAATTTAAACCCGGGAAATCTTGAATCGAGACTTTCTGAAGGTTTAATTGAAAAAGATGAATTCCATGCTAATGTAATAACTCCTGTAATCCTGAATTTAAGATGAGTTTAAAAGAGACGTTTTATTTTGACAGCGTATTTATTTGATTATCAGAAAAATTGAAACAACCCGAGTAATTGAATTAATTAGGTATTAATGAATTGAGGACGCGATTTTTTTTGGACCAATTCAATTATTTCGGAGATGAATCCAATTTGTGGGAATCATTTAGCGCAGGTTTTATTAAATCATTTGCTCTCACCTGAAACAAACTCAGAACACTTTTAAATATTTGTTATGAAGATTATTCTCCAGTTACAAGTGAAAAAAAATCATTCATGTAATCTAATTAAATTTCCAATGATTCCACTCAATCCGTTAAGAGAGCAGTCTATTTTCAAAATGGCCTAGAGGATATCACTGCGCATATCACATTGAATATTGAATAATCAGGAAATTATTTTAGCGCAAACGCCGATAGAAATTATCTGATGGAGATGGAGTTCTGATTTCCCAGAATTATTAATTCTATTATTCCATTATCTTAAATCTATTATCAGGACTTGAATTGAATCTCAAGTGGACATTTTGATAAGTTCGCATCAAAATGTGTCATAGTCTCACGCGAAATCTCTGTAGGAATCATAACGCGTTACTAAACTTGACAGCTTGACTCTCAAGTCCTTGAAGTCTCAGATCAAGATTTAGCGAAGTCTTAAGGGCCGGATGGAGTATCTCGGAAAGATAATTTACTCAAAAATTGGGATTCCTAATTACTCCGTCAATTAATTGTTTTTTTTCCGATAATTGTTAGCTAGCGTTCTAGTCGTTGACAACCGCTAGAACGCTAGCTAACAATTATTAAAAAAAAAACGATTAATTGCCAGAGTAATTAGGAATCCCAATTTTGGAGTAAATGATCTTTTCTAGATGATCCCCGAGCCTTAAGGACCGGTTGGATTATCTGGAAGAGATAATTTACTCCAAAATTGGGATTCCTAATTACTCCGCCAATTAATCGTTTTTTTCAATAATTGTTAGCTAGCGTTCTAGCGGTTGTCAACAACTAGGCCACTAGCTAACAATTATCGGAAAAAACGATTAATTGACGGAGTAATGAGAAGTCCCAATTTTGGAGTAAATTATCTTTTACAGACAGTCCATCCGGGCCTTAAGTCAATATTTTGTACATCTCAAATCAAAATATCGAACGTCTCACGTGAAGTCTTTCCAAAATCATAATTTGAGCGTTAAAAAAATTTGAGAAGTCTGAAATAAAAGTCGCCTGAGACTCCAAAAAGTCCATCATTGGGACTTAATTCGTGGAAAGCTTTGAGGCCCGGAGGAATTCGTAATTATTGAATAATCAATTTCGCTATTGCAGTCGCTCCAGTCTGCAAGACTAAGGAAGTAACGGTCATTGGAGCTTCATTAGATGAATCCGTGAGGATAAGGTGCGAAGTGGAGGCTGATCCGAGTGAAGTCGACTTCATCTGGGAATTCAACAACAGCGGTGAGAATTTTGAGCTGGGCCCAGCGAAAGTCGATGGAAATAATGGGACTACCAGTGAATTCATCTATACCCCCATGTCAGAGAGGGACTATGGAGCACTCACGTGTTCTGGGAGAAATATCATCGGGAAACAGAAAATTCCTTGTGTTTATCAAGTCATTCCGGCAGGTATGGGCCCAAAAATAATCAAATTCGGATTTATCGCTTCCTCCGAGAATTCTGGAAAAATTATATCAATTGGAACTCTCGAGAATTCCTCCTTGATATTCCATTTTCGATAGCAATAGTCGATAGATTTTGATTTTTCTATCAGAATTCAAGAAATTTTTTTTTTTTTTATTAAAAAAAATGGATTTTTTTTTTTATAAAAATAAAAATTACAAATTGATAAAAATTAACATTAAATAAATAAAAAAGAAAAAATTGCGAAATCTCTGACGAATAATTAAAGTTAATTATCTATAAAAACAAATATATACAATTAGTGTAAAAACTAATTAAAAATTGGAATAATTCCAAAAGAATATCTCGAGATTTCGAGAGCACGAGAAAAATATTTATGGAACAAAAATGAAATTAATATCCATTCGACTTTCTGCTTCACTACATCAATTAAAAATTGATGAAATCAATATCAATATTTACATAACTCGCCCACAAAATGAGTAAATTAATTAAATGAGCTATTTATTCACATTTCATAAATAATGAAAAACGCGAAGAAATAATTATTGAATTAAATGAAATTCAATAAATTATTCACTATGCAATTAATTGAAGAAAAAGTAATTAAATATCCGGGAAATTGATATCGATATTAATTTCGTTCGTCTATAAAGGTAATAATTTAATGAGATGCATTATTTATTTCAATACCACAAGTGATTGAGATTATCTGAATATTCAGTGAATTTCGAAGCTTTAGAAAAACAATTAAATAACCACTAAAATTAGATGAACAAAGTGGGAAGTATGAACAATTGGGGAATATTGAGTAGTAAAACCGAGTGTTCCAATTTTTTTATTTTATTGTTTATTAATGTATGTACAATGAATTATTTACAGTCGTTTCGTGAATATTACATATTTAGTTATAAATAATGTTATGTAAAAATCCTGGAGACTGTCTGAATGTTTTTCCTTTTAATTGTTGTTGTTCTCTTACTTCTCTAATTTTTCAACATTCTCAAAAAATCCATCCAACCTGCATCCATCATTTTCTCCTTCTGATTACGAAATTTCTTGTCTAGAAATTTACCATTTTTTTATCAGTTAAGGCCCGGATGGACTGTCTGAAAAGATTATTTACTCCAAAATTGGGACTTCTAATTACTCCGTCAATTAATCTTTTTTTCCGATAATTGTTAGCTAGCGGCCTAGTTGTTGACAACCGCTAAAACGCTAGCTAACAATTATTAAAAAAAAATGATTAATTGCCAAAGTAATTAGGAATCCGAATTTCGGAGTAAATGATCTTTTCTAGATGATCCACCCGAGCCTTAAATGTAATAAAATTATGAAAAACCTGAAGTGTTGACTAATGGATTCTTCCAATGAATTATTTCCCCTCGTCTCCATTTCACCCGGACATCCCCTAGGAAATGGTGATGACATGAATTGAATGAATTTAATAATTGTTAAAAATTTTTTAGAAAGACTGAGATGAGGTGAGGAGGGTAAATGAATGTGAATATTGGTTGAAAATTTGTGAAATTTTGTTATGTTGCAGTTAAACCGAGTCCTCTGAACAATTGCACGATAAAGGCCTCGTTGAATCAGAGCTCGGAGATCCTCGAGATTGAGTGTGTGCCAGGATACGATGGGGGTCTTAAACAGGAATTTCGCCTGGAGGCTTGGGAAGCTGGCACCAGGATACTCCGGGTTAATACAACAAGTATTTCCCCCGAATTACCCCTCTTCCGTATATCCATCGTGGATCTTCTGCCAGCAACTCACTTTTATCTGATCGCTTATGCTGTGAATGCCAAGGGGAGAAGCGAGGTATCATTACTCGAGGATATTATCCTCAGGGACTCGGCCAAACAGACCGGTAATTAATCATCAAATTACACCTCATCCCTCATCGTGTCTCACCCTTCATTCTTCACTCATATATCAAGTGGTGAATTTGTTTTATTTATTTTTCCTACCAAGTCCTCGATATTTTTTTTTCTTGTTCTTACATTTTGGGGAATTCAATGGAATGGGCAACAATATATTACTAGAATGGGTTAATAAATATGTAAGAAGTGATGAAATTTCAGATTTATTTCAAGGGAAACATGAAATCTCAAATTTTACTATTTTTTCGGTCCTAAATATTTTTTTTAACTTTAATTTTTGCCGGGAATTGTCTAATGGTTCATTTTTTGTTGTGGAAAGACCGAAGAACATCGAAAAGTAAACTAAATTATTTAGAAACATTGGGGAATGTTTTATTACTATAACGTCAATAAGAAATTAATGAAATTTGATGTTTTCCAAATTTTTTATTAAAAACGGAAGAATTTACTGACTTGTTTGGAAAAATAGAAGGATTTTTTATTTAACTGGAACAGAAAATGAATACAATTTAATATTTCCCCATTTTTTAGAAAGAAAAGCAGGAAAAAGGAACTAAACGAAAAATCGAGGAATGATTCAGGAAAAATTCAGTAATTTCGGAGCTTTTGGTATTCCACATCAATAAATTATGAAAATGTAAAAAATGGACAACTGGGAAAAATCCGAAAAGATAAAATTTTCTGGAGTTTTCCTGTAGAATAAATTTAATTAGTTTTTTTTTTACGGAAGACGCGCAGAAAAATAGGAAAATTTATCGGTAGAACCCAGAAATTCACTAGAATTTTTTGAAAACCGCGGGGTTTCCTCTTAAAAATTCAATACGTCTGATTGATAACGTTCACGTGATTATTCCTCTGGAGTTTTCTGTCAATTCATTACTCAACCAGGAAAATTTACGACTGAAAACATGAATTAGTTGTCCATATCCGATCAATACTCGAGAACGCCCAAGGCACCACGATTTTGGGGTTGAAATCGTCTTTTAATGATACCCTGGACCAGGGGTTCCTGTCTAAAATACCTCCAGCTGTTTAAAAAATGAAGGATTTTTAATCATTCCTCAATTCCTTTCCGAATCCATACAATTATAATTATTCAGAATTATTTATTATGTTTTATAACTTAGGAAAATCTCGGCTTTAACAATTGAATGAATAATTACCGAATTAAACGAATAGTTGATGAATACATGAATATTTTACGATTTCTTCTACAATTATTATTTAATTACAATCCATCAAACATTAATAATTGATAATTGAAGTGGAGAAATTCGAGACTGAAGAATTGATGAATTTTTATTATTATTTTATAAATCAAAAATAAATCAAAATGGCAAAAAAAATCATTCATTTGAATTACAAAAATGAAAATAAACCTGTCACGAATTAATATAATGACACTACATGATTCTTAATTGTTTAATAATTTGTTAAATGGATTTATCCAGAGAATCTGATTTTTTTTTGTATTAAAAATTGGTTTTTGTGTTTTTCCAGAGAGTGGAGTGAGTTTTGTTCCCCTGGTGCTTCTGCTAATTGGATCACTCATGACCCTGGGGATAACAGTTCTGTCTGTCATGCTGATGATGTACAGACGACGAGGCACAACTTCACCAGTTCATGTCGAGCCTTACATGAAGCAACCGATAATCAGTCCACCTGACTCGAGAAATAATTCGATGCTGGATGTCACACACGGGGATCACACGTATTTCGTCGAATATACATTGAAACAGGTGGGGGATTATGGGCTCAACCAGCCGGATATCATTCAATCACCTCAAGGTAATCCCTTCTTCATGGAAAAATTAATTAATTCCTTAATTAACCAACCACTCCAGAGCTGTCAGTCTTGAGAGTTCAGGTTCAGTGCAGTTTTTTCGCGATATCTCGAAATCTATCGAAGGTAGAAATTTTTTAATTGGAACTTATTTCTAGCTCTTTCGTGGCTCTACAAAAAAGTTTCTACGAACAAAAATCTATCTCCCATAGTTTTCGAGATATCGCGGGAAAACTGCGCTGAATCTGAACGATTCGAGGTTGACTCGAGTTTACACGAGCCCCCATTTTCCCGCGATATCTCGAAAACTAAAAGAGATAGCGGAATTTGTGAAAGAAGTCTTTTATAGCTCTTCGTTGGATCTATAAAAAAGATTTTACGAAAATTTTGCTGTCTCTTTTAATTTTCGAGATATCGTGTGAAAATTGGGGCTCGTGTAAGCTGGAGTGATCATTTTTGTGGAGTTAATTGTGTTAATTTTTGTTTAGATCAAGAGAAAGTTAAACGAGAACCTCAACTGTTCTTGCCAGTTAGGCCTGATACATTATTTGCTCCGTATGACCTACATAAGCAGGGCCTGCAGACAAATAAGTGCAGTGTAAGTGGATTTGCAGTTTTTTTCTTAAAATCAATGATTTCTGCATTGAGCCATTTTGAAGTTTTTCAAGAATATCTCTTATTTTAAGAGAGATAGCGATATTTTGATAAGAGCTTTTTTTGTAGCTCTCACCCCTCTCTAAAAAAAAGTTTCTAATGAAAATTTTGATATCTCGCTTAGATTGAAAGCTATTCCTCGAAAAGTCGATCCTTTAACGAATCCAGGCTTAAATAAATTATATTAATATTACTCATATTGAAATTAATAAATTTTATTATTATATCTTGCAGTTGAATCCATTTTCTACGAAATCATGGGAGCCCATAAGCTTCAAGGCTGACCGCAACTTGATGAAAGAAATAATAATCGCCAATTCCATACCCGGTCCGGAGAGCTGCGTATAAAGTATTTGTAATCTAAGAAAACAAATTATTTGATAGACAAAAGAATGAACCATCGAAATCGAATCAACGCATAAACGAGACATATCAGTATAGCTGACATCATCGTCACGGAATTATCACACACTCATACGTGGACTGTCTGCATTGTTTTTTAAGAACAAACTAAATAATCGGGGGAACGAACAGTTAACGTGGACTGAGGGCGAGAATTGGTGTTTTTGGTGACCAATGAGGGGACGCCCTTTTTTCAATAAAGAGATGAAAATAAACGAATTGTGTACATGTTTAATGTTAATCCATAAAATTATTATATTATTTGTGTCACTTGAAGGAATTTTCGAATTCATTTTCTAGGTCCTCTTTTAATTTATTTATTCTAATTTTTTTTACATACAATTCAATTTAGGCCTTAATTTAATTATTTTATTAATCAATTGAACTTGATTAATTCCGTGTTATCTATTTATAACTAGGATTTGATATTCCAATACAAAATTAGACATTGAGTCTTTTTTTCTAAAGAATTTCCTGATTTTTCTTCTTAATTTTCATGATTTCAATTTTTTAAAAATCTAATTATACATAGAATCAATTTCCATCATAAAATTTATTTAATTTCTGATTTCTCTGAGGTAATTGAAGAATAGTGTAATTATTAATTAGAAGTACTTCAATTTTTTTTTTGCTTTATTCACTTTCATTGATTAAAGATTCTACACATATTTTTTATTAAAAAACTTGTGATTCTTTTCGAATATCCTCAATAAAAAACTTTTCAATTACTGAAATTTCTCAATTTCATTTCCTCTAGTTCGTTATAAAAAATGTAGATTGCAAAAAAAATGTGAAGAATTGTTAAGACTAGAATAAGAAATATCTCAACCATTCGATAGAAATATTCAAGTTTCATTTTAATTTCTTAATTACTGATTGTATAATATATTTCTTAATACTCATAAATTTTTTCGAATATTTTTAATTAAAAGAAAAATCCAATTATGTGGACGTCGGTTTGATTTTCTATCGGATTATTTAAAAATACAGATTGTAGAGAAAAATGTGAAAAATTTTGATTGCTAAGACTAGAATATGGAATGTTTCGATCGAATGGTGGAGTCGAGTTGAAAGATGGGAAGACATGTGCGTTTATCTCCACAAACTGAAGCTCCCAGAAGAGCCCCGAGTACGAGTGCCATCCAGACAACTCCCAGCATCACCAGGGAGCCCACAACAACATTTTTGTACTGATAAAAATGGTTCAGCTGAGGAAGAGGCGGTCTTTTGAGTAGAAAACTTGGAAAAAATGTGGTTTCCAGAGGTGGAGATGGCGAGGTTTCATTATCCCTAGCTTCGGTCTTCTTTTCATTTTGATTCTTCACTTCTGTCAGGGTCTGGACTCCCCTCTCCTTCGAGGCATTCGTGAGTACCTCGGACTTGGTATTTTGGTACTTTGGATTTGACCGAAAATTCAAATCAAATCTATCTAGAAAAGAGTCAAGTCCATTGAGGTTTCAATCGAGCTTTTCGGAAATATCTTCGGATCTGAGGGGAATATGAAAATTTTTGTTAATACCTTTTTTGTAGGGCTCATTAAGAACTATAAAAAAGGTTATAACAAATATTTTGATATATTTATTAGATTCCGAGGTATTTATTGGGAATTGAAGCAAGAAAATGCAGATGAATAATTAAATTCTTGGTTCCCTAGAGCTTTCGAGAAATATCTCCGAATCTAAGGGGAATATGGAAATTTTTATTAATACCTTTTTTGTAGGGCTAATTAACAACTATAAAAAAGGTTATAACAAATATTTCGTTATCTTCATTAGATTAGAAGGTATTTAGTGAGAAATGAAGGATGAAAGTGAAAATAAGTCACTGAACTCGTGCGGAATAATAGAGAAAATATTTTTTGAGGGAATTTTCGATTTTGAAAAGCACTTTACGTTCTTGTGAAACCCTCTCCATCTGATGACGCACCAGTCCTATAACTTTGCACTTGCAGTGACACAAGTGCGATAAAAATTCGTGATTTGACTCGTAAATTTCCTCGGATGAATTTGCAGAGTCAACTGTAGAGTTCCGACAGATTTCTCTGTTGCACATTATGATTTTTTAATTTGAGGGTATGAAGTAGATGTGATCTGAAACTAGCCATCAATGATCGCCTTTTTTTCATTAATCCATTTAAATTAACAATTTTCCTCGAAATTACTAAAAGTCATTTGTGAAGTTGCAAGTGAAAATAATTTTCTAACTATGAAAAATATTTTTATTTCAAGCAATACATTAGCTGGAATAATTTATTTATTAAATAGTCAATCCCCTCAGGATAATAATTACCAGAAATAATTTTTCAAAGTGTAATTAGTTTCAATTGCTCGGGAAATCTACTTTAATATAATTTTCAGAGCAATTACTGTACAAAAAATTCCTAGAGCAAAGCACCACAAATAACAGAAACAAAACATAAATAAATAAATAAAAAAACAGGATAATTAGACCCTTAAGCCCTCAATTAAAACTGTAATTAGTGTGATTAAAAGTCTTTAATAAAAAAGTTCTAGCTATTGCTCAAGCAAATAATTAGCGCAAATTATTCTTCCACTGAAATTTCACTTCATTTATCTAAGTCAGCTTAAGTGTCTCTTTGAATAATTACAATTAATAATTAAATAGAAAATACTCTCCGAAAGAACGAGTCGATAATTATTGCATTATTATTATTATGAATTATTACAGCTGGAGGACATAATAAATACTGTCAAAGGAATTCATACAGCAAAGGAACAAAATAACAAAAAGACAAAATTAATAAACAAGTAGAACACAGGATAATTAACAATCACAAAACCATCAATCTTTAGCCACTCCACTAAACATCAATTAACAAAATTAACTGCATTTAATTAAGTTAATTGAAAATGACTTTTAAAATCAAATCAAATAATTAGTAAAAATTATTTTTCCACTCAATTTCTCTCATAATCGACTCCAATGTGTCTTTGAACAATCAAAATTACTGATAAAATAGAAAATCTTTTCCTCAACAAAATAATTAATAGATAATTATCAGACATAATTATTCTCACTGAAACTCCACTTCTCAGAAATAATTACAGCTGTACAGAAGATAATAATTACTATAAAAGAAATTCCCAGGGCAAAGCAACAGAAATGATAAATAAAACGAATAAACAAATAAATAACAGGATAATTATCAATCATAAACGCATTAATCCTGAAACTCTCAATTAAAACTGAAATTAAGAGCCACAATTAAGAGTGTCTTATAAAAAAAATGACTAATTAAAGAGAAAATATTTTTTTTGACACTGAAAAATTATTTCTGGTAATTATTATCCTGAGGGGATTGACTATTAAATAAATAAATTATTCCAGCTAATGTATTGCTTGGAATAAAAATATTTTAATATTTAGAAAATAGCTTTTATATTGAGGGAAAAAAAACTAGTGTATAATTATCAGAAATAATTCTCCCCACTAAAACTTCACATTTCATGAATAATAACATGATGGGGATTCACAGAATGGGGGAAGTAAAATAGGTTAAGAAAAGGTAATATTAATAAAAAATTGAATAATTAATGAGTCGATGGTGTAATGAGAATGGATCAATGATGAACCCTTGGTGGAAATACAATGGAAATGGAGGGACGTCGATTCCCTGAAAGGCATCCCTCCAGATAAAGAAATACAAATCAATACCCCATGCTGGCACAGTACTGAGACCCGACGTTTTGCGACGGCGTGCACTGGAGTTTTACAGCTGTTCCGTTTCTCCACCTTTCGGGGGTGATAACTCGCATGTACAATTATCGGATAAATAAATAATCAAGTGATTCAGTCATGACGATTATCGAAATCACCGGCAAGTGTCAGTTACGTTTCGATTAATTCCCCTAAATCGAAATGTCAAGGAGTTTTGACAGTCGATTGGTCAGACCTCGGAACTGACGTGGGGATTTCAACTAGTGAATTTAGTTTATTCGGTCTTCGGGTCACCGGGAGTTCCTAGTTGGTGATGATTTTTTATTGACTCAGGTATACCATTATCCCTGATTATTATTGATTAAATTTCTTATTGTTTAAATGAAAATTAATAAATTAAATAAACTCTTGATAAATTGCAGTGATCATATGCGGGGGTAATAAATTAGGTCTAGGGACTCTAGTTTATAATTAGCTTTTTTTTAATTAGTGAGGGTTTAATTGGTTTTCTGTTTGACGGAAAAATTTATGACTCGATTTTTCGGAATTTTTTGGATTATATCTCGTAAGTGTGGGGGTAACTCAATTTTTTATTTATATTGGGGGAAAATTATTGTAGTTTTTGAGGGTTTGGAAATTTTGGGAGTCCAGTGGCTGTAGGAAAATCGAAAATATTTTAATTGAATAGAAAAATTACTTCAGTCTAGAGAAATGAGAATTTTTGTTGGAAATTATATTTTTTCGTGGAGTCTTAACAATAAAATAAATAATTTATTAAATGTTGGGATAATAGATTTCGGGTATTATTTAAAAAATGTCTTGAGTCTAGTAAAAAATGGCATTCACTTTTGGAAAATTAGATTCAAAATTCCAAGTAAAAGATTTGAAATTTTTAATAATTCTCCATTAACGAATCATTTAACTTCCAATTATTGAAAATTCCATTATGATTTAACATTAAAATTCTTTTCTGGAATTTTCGAAATGAATGAGAAATTTGGTGACAGTGTCTAATTAAAATTCTATTCCAACATAATTAATAATTTAAATGAATTTCTGAGTGAAATTTCACGGAAATTTTCATCAATGATTTTCAAAAATTAAGAGATGTTGTAGAATTTGAAAATTACAATAATAAAATATCTAGAATAATGGAATAATTATATTAGAATTAAAAGATGGAACATTGAAAAAAATGAAGAGTGCACAGTAAAAAAAATGAAATGAAATGAAAAAGTGAAAATTACATTTTTGTTCAATAAAAATTTAAATATTTTAATGGAATTTAATGCTGGAATACTGTAATTTTCATTGAATTACCCATTGTTTATTGCAATGTTAGATTTTTTTTGCAAGCTACCAAGATGTTCGAAGGCGCGGTGGCAGCATTTTTGAATCGTCTCCTTGGACGATACGTCGAGGACCTCGACACAGAGCAATTTAACGTAGGGATTTTCTCTGGTGACACGTACCTGACGGATCTCAAGCTGAAACCAGAGGCATTGGTGAGTGAAAAGTTTTTCATCTCCCAATAAAACTTTAAATAATCCTTAAAGTTGAAAAGAAAATGAGAAAACCCGAGTGTTTTAGTAGATTCGTGATAAAGAAAGGAATTTTCTTTCTCTTAATTAAAATCGCTCTTAATTCCACTGACTCATTAATTTCTCTGTGTTCTCCAGGGAATTCCTAATCTTGGATTTAATTGTATTTCAGTACCAGCTTGGGTTGCCAATTAGGATAGAAATCGGTATTATAGGAAAAGTATCTCTCAAGATACCATGGGCCGGTTTATTTTCACAACCGATTATTCTCAATGTAGAGGTGAGTATTGAAATTCTTACGAAATATCGTATGAGAAAAATCAATTCAATTAATTCAACTTGAAAATTCTAATTTAAAGAAATTTTTAAAAATCTCTGATAGCATCAGCAGAAATAGTGGATTTCGTTATTGAATTTTTTTAACGGAAAAACATGTGATAATAATGTTTTAGTAAATTTTAGAAAGTGTTGGATTTTGTTTGAGAAAAAATTCCCATGTGAATCCCCGAAACATGTCGCCATGAATCCCTGAATACTCTGGAAATTCCAGGACTCGCTTGAACTTCGCCTGAATATCCCCGAAAAAAAAATCACATGAATCCCTGAAAGCTCTGAAAACGTTAAGACTCGCCTGAATTTTTTCCTGGATGTCCCCGAAAAATTTTAGCATGAATCCCTGAAAGCCCTGAAAATGTCAACACTCGCCTGAATTTTCCACTGAATTTCCCCCGAAAAAGTCCCATATATATCCCTGAAAGCTCTGGAAATTTCGAGCCTGGCCTGAATTTTTCCCTGAATGTCCCCGAAAAATTTATCATAAGTCCCTGAGAGCCCTGAAAATTTCGAGACTGGCCTGAATTTTTCCCTCCATGTCCCCGAAAATTTTACCATAAAAAAATGCCTGAAAGCCCTGAAAATGTCAAGACTCGCCTGAATTTTCCACTGAATTCCCCCGAAAAATCCCATATATATCCCTGAAAGCCCTGAAAATTTCGAGACTGTCCTGAATTTTTCCCTGCATGTCCCCGAAAATTTTACCATAAAAAAATGCCTGAAAGCCCTGAAAATGTCAAGACTCGCCTGAATTTTCCACTGAATTTCCCCGAAAAATCCCATATATATCCCTGAAAGCCCTGAAAATTTGGAGACTGGCCTGAATTTTTCCCTGCATGTCCCCGAAAATTTTACCATAAAAAAATGCCTGAAAGCCCTGAAAATGGCAAGACTCGCCTGAATTTTCCACTGAATTTTCCCGAAAAATCCCATATATATCCCTGAAAGCCCTGAAAATTTCGAGACTGTCCTGAATTTTTTCCTGCATGTCCCCGAAAATTACCATAAATGCCATAAATGCCTGAAAGCCCTGAACATTTCAGGACACGCCTGATTTCTCCTATACATTTCCCCAAAAATTTCCCACATAAAACCCTGAAAACCCTGAAAATTCCAGGACTCGCCTGAAGTTTCCCCTGTACTTCCCCGAAAAATGTCCACATGGACCCCTGAATAAATTCTGAATTAATTGTGAAATGAATTGTTGACTGAATGAATGTTTCCCTTCACTTCCACGAACAATCCCCACGTGAGTCCCTGAAAACTGAAAAATTCCAGGACATATACATCGTGGCGGTGCCATCGATGTCAGGCAATTACGACGAAGAGATTCAGAAGCGGCTGACCCGTGCAACAAAGCGAAAACTCCTGGAGGACCTGGAGGGAGATGGCCTGCTGCCATCAGGCCTACCATCAGGGCTGCTGGACAGCCTGATGGCGTCACTGATAAAGAATTTTCAAATAACAGTGACAAACGTTCACGTGAGATACGAGGAGAAATTCTCGTGCAGTTCAAGAATGGCCTGCGGCCTGTGCATCCAGTCCTTCTCGATAGCAACGACGAATAACAAGTGGAAACCGGGAGTAACACCCCCAACCTCTACCTCAATCTACCAATTAATCCGAGTGGAATCCCTGTCCCTGTACCTCAACCCCAACGGCAGTCCATCCCTGGAGTTCTACCCGAACCCCTGGGACTTCCAGAATCTCGTCGAATGGAAAGCGATAATGCATCGTTCTCTGCGCACATTCTCCATCAACACCGAGGAATTTGACTTCCTCATCAAGCCCTTCACCACGAAAATCAAAGTAATCGTCAATCAGAGCAGCACAGGCCAGCCCTCTAGAATGCTAGTGGACATTGTCCTCCAGGACGTGGCGATGCAGTTGTCAGAGGGTCAGTTCTCCTGTTTCTGCAAGCTGTGGAGATCCTTGCAGCAGGGACCAGTGGAGAGGAATCGATTGACTCAGCGTTCTCACCCCACCTGCCTCCTCCGAGAGAATCCTCGCGCCTGGTGGAGGTACGCCCTCACAGCAGTTCTCGAGCAGAACATCCGCCCCTACACCTGGGAGTACATCAAGAATCACCGGAGGAACTACAAAAAATACAAGGAGACCTTCATGCAGACCCTCATTCGCCCGAACGACACGGAATTGAAGCTCGACCTCCAGAAGTACGAGGACTGCCTCTCAATCCTGAATATCATAATCGCCAGGGAAGAGGGCAAAATCGAATTAAAAAAACGTGAACCCGACTGCGTCACTGTGGAGACCCTCAATTCAAATATCAAACTCCTGGTGAATCTCGAGAGGCTCCAGGAGGTGTCCGGTGTTCCTGTCAGCCCCAAATCCCTGAAAAACCACTGCGAGGATCTCGCTAAGCTCAAGCTCGAGCCCTTCCCCAATAGCATCGAACGCAAATACAATTTCACTCTCGCCAATTGGTCATTCAGTCTATTAACGAGTGACTCAAGCTCTCGTGAACGTGAAATTCTTGTTGTGACGATGGGACAATTTCTCATGAGCATCGAAACACGTCCCCAACTCTCGGCATTTAAAATATCCGCACGTGCTGAGAGTCTTGTTCTCGAAGGTGCCTCCTCCGTGGAGAACGACCTGGTGCCCCTCGTCACAGCTGACAACATCCTCACAGGTAACACAGCCTCGAATTTTCTGGCGATTGACTTCGAGAAAAATCCCAAGGACAGCGACTTCAATTATGAAGTCAACGTGAGACTCGAGGCCTTTGAGGTAACGTACCACGATTTTGCCATGAGAGAAATAATAAATTACTTCAAACGTAATAAACCAAACGTGAGTCACTTCGTCTGGAGTATGCAGAAGGCGTACGGTAGAACGAGGAAGAAATTCCTGGGGGTTGTGAGTTCAATAATGAATAGACGACTTCGTGTGAATCTCAAGCTAGACGTCAAGGGTCCCTACATCGTCTTCCCCGACGGTGGCTCACACCATCCCCTGTGTGGCAATATTATTATCCTGGATCTAGGTAGATTGACCCTGAAGACAGAACTCCAGCCTCCGGAGGTGCAGCTGGAGGACGCAACTCTCATGGAACTCGAGGAACTACTTTACGATCGCATCCACGTCGTCCTCTCAGACACTCAGGTACTCATCTGTCACTCGGGCGACGACTGGCGGGACTCTCGAAATCTCAAGGACTCGGATTTTCACATTGTTCCGAAGATCCAGGCGAATGTCACCATATCCTTCAGCATAAAACCAGATTATCGTCTTCTCCCGAGGCTAAAGCTCAACGTCTCCATCTCAACAGTCAAATTCAACGTCTCGAAGCACAAACTCGTGTGTCTCAATGATTTTCTCTCGCAGGTATCAATCCCCCATCCCCAGGACCTGGAGGACCTGCGGAGAAGTCTCCTGAGGGTCCAGGAAAACGTCAGTGAGTGCCTGGTGACGTCCACCCGGGAGCTCACAAAAATAAGAACCATCGTCGCCCTCGCGTCCTTCGTCATCATCAGAAAGAAATCGGATTACGGGGTAAATGGCATCGAACCCCTGAAAACCGACTCCGAGAGGAGCGTCGTCTCCTCGGAGTTCAGTGAGGAAGACCTAGAGCAGTGGATAAAATCCGTCAATTTCTCAGGATTCGACGACAACATTTCACCACATAACAACGTCAATGTCCTCCTCAGGATTGTCATCGGAGAGCTGTCAATCCACGCTAGTTACTCGAAATCCAATCCTGACAGCTCCGGCAACAGCTGTCACACACGGGAGAAGCCCTACCTCATCCTCAGGCTATGCACCATCTACCTGGAGTCTGCCCTCATGGAATTCGGTCCAGCCCTTCAATTTGGAGTGGGAACAATTGTTCTTGCTGATAAAACCAATGCAGGAATCACTGGTTCCTACCTGGAGCTCGTCTCTGGGGATGGGAACTACGACGTTGTCGGTGTGGCGTACAGAAAGGTCAGGGCGAATTGTCCGGACTTCAAGACTCACTTCAAGAGCATCGAGCAGTCACTCGTGGTGAACACCAGGAACATCAACGTTGTCTTTCATAAACAGGCGTTCGTTAAACTCAATGACTACCTGGAGGATCTCCTCCACATACCCTTTTCGTACAATGCAGGAAAAATCCCCAGTCTCTTGGAGGTGATTAAGTACCTCAGGGGACTCTTCAGGAAAAGGGAGGCAGATCCACCGGTACCAGCTGGTGCTATAAAACTCAGTTATTCAGCTAGACTCAACAGTTTACTCCTCAAGCTTTGCACCAAGGACATGGATCTCCTGGAGATCAGGGTGAACAGCATCGAGAGTGACTGCATCTACAATGCCAACGAGAGGATGATCCTGAGGGCTCACGTCGGTGGAATATCCATTGAAGATCTCAGTGACATCACATTATACTCGAAGATCCTCTCCACCGAGGATGACAAACTCCTTGATCTCAAGTACGTCAGACACGCCCCCAAATTGTACTCCTCGAAGATGACGGACGTTAATCTATCTGGGGATGACGACGTCAAGACCGATGGGAGCTTCAAGCTCTCCCTCGGGAAGATTAATTTTGTGGTGCTGTCTGAAGTCTTCAGGAATTGCAGACACTTTGGGGAACCGTTTGGTCATCTCCTCGGGGGAATATTCCCCAATGGATTGTCCAGGATATTCGTTAATTGGAGTGTTGAGGAGCTCAGGAAGAGTCCCACGAAGTTGCATATATCCATTGACCTCCAGGGGCCGACGTTCCTTTTTCCCCAGAAGAGAGATCTACCCAATACTCTTGTCCTTGATCTTGGATTGTTGACGATCGAGAATTTCTTCAAGAGAAATGGCAGTGATGAGATCGTTGTTGATAATCTACTGGTGAAGCTCGAGGCTGTGGTGGTATCCAGGGCGATCATGACTCTTGCTGGAGTTCTCAAGGTTCAGGAACCTATTGTTGAGCATGTGGAGGTGAGGCTCGATGTCAAGAGGAATATTGAGTGCTGGAGGGGTGGAGCTCAGGTTTATGGACTCTGTGAGGTAGTGGGATCTGTTGAACAGCTGGTTGTCAATCTCAGTCGGAAGGATCTCGCTGGGATCCTCAATATTTGGGAGGACAATATCGGAAAGATCGTCAGGATGAAGGCTGAAGCCTCTGGGGATTTCTCTCAGGGATACTGCGGGGGTGATGCCACTATGAGGAAGCTCGAGGTATTTTTTACCAATGAGGAACATCCCGTTTGCGAGGTCAACATGAAGGTCTCCTTCGATGGACTCCAGGTCAATCTTTTCTCGGATTCTGATGAGGTACGAAATCCTAATCTTCATTTTTTATTCCAACTTTTTCTCTTTTATCTTCCGTCTTTATCCCTGAATTAATCATTTTTTTCTTCCAATTAAAATTGTCAGTTTTTACATTTATACAAAATATATTATTTATAATTATATTTATATAAAAATTGTTAGATTTTAAAACGATATGATACAAAGGAAATATTTTCCATAAAAAAACAATTTCATTTGGTTCTACGAAACTTGATGCTCCATATTTTATAAAAAGTGTTAAAAAAAACAATTATTCTCAGAAAATGGGATAATAAACAAATGGGATGATAAATAATTTGTGAGAGATAATTATTTTCTTATTTTTAGAGTAAGTAATTGGAGAATTTTTTTCAATTGCTAGGTCTTGAGTTCTCCAGTGAGGGATTTGAACAACGGTCTGGGGAAATTGAACTTGGGGGAGGTGATGTTGTCCTTCGAATTGTACAGCAATAGAAGCATGAGTATGAAGATCTCCCTCAGGACTTGTACCCTGGAAGATACCAGGAAGGAGCCGGCTGTCATCAGGAAGTACGTCAAACCCTTTTTGATAAATTCATTTCACTAAAATCCAAGCTAATTCACCTGGATATTACCTCATGACTGAAAAATAATAGCAAGTTGCATAATTATGAGAAAATCATTAGCAAAACCTATCACTTTCTCCCAAGACTACAGATGAAGAGTTCCATTTATAATTTATAATAATTCACAATGATATTTTCACAATGACATTTTATTTATAAAAAAGTGTATAATATGAATGGATGTTTCCAGTTTAAATTGAACTTATCAAATTGCAGAATAATCCAGTCACCAGCGAAATCAGCAGGTCTGAATTTCGAATCAGTGATATCAGTGTCAGAGCCGCCAGTGTTCGACTTTACATTTACCCAAGCACCAGCTGGTGACAAATGCATTGACATGCTGATAGAGGAGACCCGAGTGAACCTGTCGATTCCATTTTTTCTCCAGCTGACAAAATACTTTGTGGAGTCTCTGCCGACGGAGCAGATTGACAGAGGAGTGATCAACGAGGCGTACGAGGGCAACAACCACGTGGACGACCTAAAGACAAAGCCCCCGCAATTGATAATTGAGCAGCCAATGGAGCTAGAGGAGCAGTCAGGTACCTCAGTGTCCATCAGAATCAGAAAACCAGAGATTCTGCTGTTCGGTGATCTCAAGGCCAGCAATGCTCATGCCATTCTGGTTCAGGCGGAACTCATGATTGAGAGCAGCAGGCACCTGGGCTCGTCCTCTGTTGTCTGCAGTTTCTCCAATGTCTGTGCTAAAAGCAAGAGCCAGGAAAGATTTCGTAGACAGCCACCACAATGGGTTCTTCGACCCTGTGACATCGACGTCTGCTCCAGGGAGAAGAGCACTGATGATCAAGGACAGATCATCCTCGAGGTCAGCTCTGTTGATATACATCTGTCTGCTGGAACTGTCTGCACTCTTAATCAAGTGAGTGTTCTTATCAGAGAGCAGAATCTAAAATAAAAGGCAGTAGCTCAAGTTTAGTGGACTCTTCAGTGAGTCTTTGGGAATAACTCTCTAATTATTGGAGATACAGAAATTTTTGTTATATTCTTTTTTGTAGAGCTGATTGAGAACTGCGAAAAAGATTTTTACAAAAATTTTGATATTTCTCTTAGTTTTGGAGATATTTTTGAAATACTAACAGTTATTTTATCTTTTCACTGGAATTGTTATTTAATTCATTCAGTTTTTATAATATTAATTCATTTTGGACTGAAAAGTATTTTAATATATTATTCCCTGAACACATTTTTTATTCTCATTTTATTGTTTTTATTTTCATAATAAATAAAAGAATTTAATTTAATAATAAATAAAAGAATTTAGACTCCAATGATTTTTATGAGTTTATAAAATTATTGGAAGGCTTGAATATCGAAAGATATTTAAGAGATAATATTGATTAATTTTATTGTAGAAAATGAATGAACAAATCGATTTTTATTGTACAGATTTAAACAAATTGAATTTTAAATTCCAGATTTTGCGAGATGCTTCGGAAATATTGAAGATCATCGACGCCAAATTCGAGAGCAAGAACGATTTCACGGAGATAATTGGATACGCGGACCTCTGGTCACCGAAGAAGATATTCTCATCCCCATACCGAGGGAATCCAAATGGACGTAAGTACCAGAGAATTCGCGAATGATTTCCCCATCAATCTGTAATTTTTTTGGACAATTAATAACAGACTGGGAGATGCTGTCCCCACGAGCCCCACCTATGGAGGATCCAGCTGTGAACCTGATAAAGATATTGAGCCTGAAGCCCTTCGAAATCCACGTTATCCTGGAGATGGAGGATACCGTGGAGAGAATTCCCATGGTGAAAGCAGAGATCGAACTCGGGGCTTCAATCACATCTCTCAATTCCACTTACAAATTCGATTCTAGCTTCAAAATTCATGCATTCTGTTATAATGCCAGTCGAGGGAGCTGGGAGCCTTTCATCGAACTCTGCACCAAGGATGACGTCACTTATTACCCCTGGGAACTCTCGATAAAGGTAAAAAAATTTCTGGAAAAAATTCTAGTCAACAGAAAAAATGAAAAAATCATTCTCGCATTGGAAATTAGTTTGGATTTGCATAAAATAGTTTCCTAAGTTAGAGATGTTTGATTTATACTGAAGAATTGAGATTAAACAATAAATTCGTTTATTGGTGATTAATTTATTGATTAATTAACAATTTATTAATGATTTTATAGAATTACAGTTGAGAAGTCGTCGGATATTTTGGGAGTATCTCCGAAAGTAATGAAGATAGCAAAATTTTTGTTATGAGATTTTTTATAGATCTTAATTAGTTCTAGAAAAAAGGTTTTATCAAAAATTTTGGAATCTCCCTTAATTTCAGAGGTATTGCGGGAAAACGTATTGATGACACGAATTGACTTCCTAATTTTTCCAATATCTTTTCATTGACGGAATATTTACGATTTTATTAATCCCCAGGTGTATCAGGCGGAGTCCCACGAGCTGAACTCGTGCCCGAGCCCCAATCCGAATCAAACAAAGAACCCGATGAAGAGATCGACCTCGAGAAAAAAGCGAAACAATCAGAACTCCACCGAGGACGACCAGAGCAACGAGGACATGCTCTTCATTCACCCAGACACAGCCCAGATGTGCTCCAAGGTTAGCCTCCACGAGTACAGCTTCGAGCACGACGAGGATTCCGACTCTAACGAGGACGAGGCACCAGAAAAACTCGCCAGGAGTTTCAGTCATCTCTTCACCAACGATGAGACCGACGAAGACGACGACGACGACACCGACTCCGATACCTCCAGCAAATGCGAGGACGAGGGACTGGAGCTCACCCCAGAGCACGTCGTCTCCACCAGAAAACTCTCTTACTCCACCGTAAAACCTCTCACCAGGGCACTCACAGAACCCTCACCCCTGGCTAATTACATCGTCATCAGTGCTGAGGACAGAATAAATTTTACTGTTACACAGAATACAATAACTATTCTGGACATTATATTAAATATTTTCACGAAGAATCAGACAGGAATTCCAATTGTACCGACAAACGCTGGGAAATTGAGTCTCATCAATGAGATTGGACATGCGAGTAGAATTGAATTAATTGCTGAAGAAAAGGTGATTCTCAAAAAAGTATTTTCTCTATTTAAAAATAGTGTAATATTCATCATTACCTGTCTATTAAAAACTAAATTGCATTCAAATCAAATTAATTGTTCAATTTCATTATTATTTTTTCTATTATTATTTTATATCTTAATAAGTATAAGTAAATCTATAATATCAGTTATTTATTTATTACCATTTATTATTATTATATTATATATTCACTATCTATAATTCAGTGAGGATTAATTGAAAAAAAAACCCTAGGGAACAGACTCGGTGAGCCGTATCCTGGCGTGGAAGGAGTTCAACCCCTTGAACTCTCCAACGAGTGCCCCAAGTACTCCAGACTCTGAGTTCTGTATGAGCGAGCACTTCATGGAGTCAGCCTTCACCGAGGATTCAACAACAACAACAACAAGCCTGAATGGTCCCGTGATATTTCCAGATGACTCCCCAGTGCATATCTACAACAGCATGACAGAGGAATCTCTGCGAATTCACATAGACACCTTCGAGGACACGATGATCTACTGCCCCAAGTGGCAGGGAACAAAATTGATTCGCCTGCGTCCCACAAAAAATAGTGTAACGTATCACCTGATTGTTGAGGTATCCACAGATCATCAGCTCCACCGTACCATCACCGTGAGGGCTCCTCTCCAGGTGAAAAACGAGACGTGCTACGCCCTGGGGCTGTATTACAAGAAAAAAATGGCTGTTGATCTGGATCTGGACAGTTATCTGAATGGCGAGGCCTCGAATCCCTTCGATGACAGCATGAGGATTACTGTCATCGAGCCCCACGACGTCTACAATGTTCCCATGTACATCACCTATCACTTCACCATTCATTTAGCACCAGTTCACTTCACCAAGTTCGAGGTATCCCCTGTTGGCATCTCCTGGAAAGAACTCTCTGATCACATGAACTCCCCCAAGGACATCTACTGCACATCAACCTCAGCCATCTTCGGGGTCAAGGTATTCTGCAGTGAGAACTCCAAGTACTCTAAGTACCAGTGGGCAAACTCTGGACAAGTACCTCAGTATCTCATCACAATTGTTCCACCACTTGTATTCGATAATAAACTGCCTTTCGTTGTCGATATCAATGTACCCTCCATCGAGTACGAGGTGAGGATCGAACCTGGACAGAGGATTGACGTCTATAATATCAGGTTGGCACCTTGGTGATGATTTTGAGGACTTTTGGAGGGATGGGTCTCTGATTTTTGTTCGTGGGGAATTAATTTCGAAGTGGAAATTGTTATCCTATGATTTTTACCTTTTTTCTTCATGAACTAATTGTTGATTTTGGTATAAATACCCGCAATCCAAAAATTAAATAATTGCAATTCAATATTTCCAGATGTGACGCAGACACAACGATAAACTTCAAGATCCAGAACTACCTGTCGACCCAGTGGGCCGGAACCTTCAAGCTGTCCTCGGAGCTGGACCGAAAGCTGGTGAAGATGTTCGCAGACGGTGAAACAGATGCTGTCTGGCGTCCCTTCGTCCTCTGCGTCGAGCTGAACAAATCCACCAGCTGGACAGTGGTGATCTACTCCGAGTACTGGATAATAAACAAAACAGGCCTCCCCCTGAAGCTCCAGGAGACGCTCTCCAACACAGTTGAGATTCCAGACGAGGAGCTGATCGTCTTCTCCCAGAGGAAAAATCGTCGTAAGCCAGTGATGCTGAAGATCCACCAGTCCGACTGGTCCCTGCCTTTCAGCCTGGACGCCATAAACTCCATGTCCCTGATAGCCTGCAAGGACATGGAGCGCAGAAGGAAGTACAGAATCCTCACTGAAATCGTCGACTCGAGTCTCTCACCCACGTTCACGCGAATAATCACATTCCTCCCTTATTTCTTCATCAAGAACACGACGAAGAGGGCCCTGAGGTTCATGGAGGAGAACGAGGACGCAGATCTGTGGAACGACCTGTTGCCAGGACAGGGGACAGCCTTTTGGCCGTACACAGACTCCCTGAGGATGAGGGTAAAGTGGAAGAACAGTCAATTGGTCTCTCAGCACTTCAGTCTTACTAGTTCTGGGAAGATAGTCCTGAGGATGGAGAATGGCTCTGCCCTCTGCGTTGACATCGATGGAGGCAACAGCTCTCCCTACTGCATCACCTTCGAGAGATACGTCTCTGGGGATGCACCAGTGCGTGTGGACAATCTCTGTGAGGATCTCTTCCTCAAGCTCAATCAGTCCGATCTTGGACAGGTGGCACTTCTCAGTCCTTATCAGAGTCTTCTCTACACCTGGGACGATCCCACAGAGTCCAGAGAACTCATCTGGAATGTCTACAACACCAAGACCAAGGGATATCCAGCTATCTTCGAGGCTGATGGATTTGGACAGGAGGTCGTCACGTTTAGGACCCTCAAGAGGTCCCCGGAGATGGTATACTCCTCTGGGAGCAGACGGGGCAGGAATACCCGGGGAAAATCCAGGACTGAGTCTCATGAATCTCAGAGATCTGTTGATCATGATGACTCCAGCAGTGCAAGCTCTGATGAAGACTCTACCCTGGAGGATGATAAAATTGATAAACTCGATAAGATCAAGCAGGTACAGAAGATTCAGAAGAATAAAACTATTATCTACTGGATCAGCTACTTGGAGAAGAGGCAGAGGGTTCTCACTTTTACTCAGGACGAGCACATCTTCCTGAAGATGAGGGCTGCTGTCGATCCAGAGTACAGCAGGACAGGTACATTCTTAAACAATTGGATCGATTTAATTGAATTTAATTGAAATGCAGAACTCATTAGAAAAATGAAAAATCAATAGATTCTTTAATTAATTTAAAAGAGTTCCTCACATTTTCAATATTTTCAATAATTATAATTGTTATCAAAAAATTATAATAACAGTTATAACAATTAATTCACAGTAAATTAAAATTATAATCAGTAAAATTATTGAAAATTTGAGGAATTGATTTGAAGAAATTGAAAAATCCGTTTAATTATCTTTATTATTATTATTTATTATGATTATTTATTACCGTATAATTGTCATTAATCCTGAAATCATGAGTTATGGATTTCTCAAGGCATTAATCAATTGTCTGACTATAATTGAATGTTTTTGTAAACAGAGGTGTTCCTGGGATTGTCAGGTGTGGGAATCAGTATTGTAGCTGATGACTGCACAGTCTCCCGGACATCCAGCAGAGAATTGGCGTACGCTAGTGTGACAGATTCATCAGCTCACTGGGAGGTGGACATTGGTAAACGATGGAAGTCCCTGACCCTGGAGCTAAACGCGTGGTTGGAGGACAAGTACAGGACATCAGCAGAGTCAGCAAAACTCGACAACTCCATCGACGTTAATTTCTCAAAAATGCACATCACGAAGCCCTTCTTCGGAAAACTCAGGAGAACATACTGTCCAGGTATCTGGATGCACCTGAGAAGATCGAACACCCTGACGTACCTCCAGGGATACATTCACCGAGTTCAGGTGGACGACCAGAAGACAGACTCTGTTTTTCCAGTTGTGTTGAGACCTGGTGGCAAGAGGTGCTGGGGGAACGGTCTAGGTGGCAGAATGAAGCATTCCCTGGAGTTCTGTTTGGTGAGACAGGCCAGGGCAACCTGCAATGTCTTCAAGAGGATTCAGGTGGTCCTCAGGGAAATGCATGTCAATCTCCAAGAGGAATTTCTCGTTGGTCTCGTCCAGGAACTCATCCCCAAGAACAGAGATGAGAGCAAGACGTCTCTCGCTGGGAGACTGAAGGCGGATCTGGCGAATGTTTATTTTCCTCTTGGAGGTGAGAACCGGTGTGGACGAGGGGATTTCGTAGAGAGCCTTTATGTGGCGCCTGTTAAGGTGCATGTGAAACTCCTGGCGTCTGCTGAGGGCAGGGAGGAGGTCTCGGGATTCGGTGGGGTCTTCGATTATGCCAGCAAGGGAAGCTTCCTCAAGCAGGCCGAGTTCAGGCTCCCTCAGTTTGAGAGGACAATCCTCAGGACTGGACTTGGGAAACTCTCTGAAGACCTGTGGAAGGGCTACTGCACGGAAATCAGGCACCAGTTCAATGTCACTGTCCAGGGGATTACTGTACTAGGGAATCCCTTTGGCTATAATTTTAAGGCACCTGGCGACGCTTTTTATGACACTGACGGCGTGAGTATGGAGTCCTTAGTAGTTTTTTAATTAATCAATTTGCAGTAATCGCGTATGAAATTTTATCGCGATTTTGATTTTAAATTCGATTTAATGTCGAATCGTTCATGAAATTGTAGCTATTACAAAAATCAATTGATTACTTATCGAATTGAAAATTAAATTAAAAAATTGATTGATTAATTATTATTTAATTGCTTTCTTGGTAGAGTATAAATTCAGGAAAACGATAAAATACAAACAAATTGGGACGTTAATTGCTTTTCTAGCAGGAGAATTAATTCTCTGGCTGTTAAAAATTAAAAGTCAAGTGCAATTATAAAACAATTGATTAAATATATTATTAGAACTCATTAACAAAATAAAAAATGATTCGCATCGATTTATCGGTTTCATTTCCTCGAAATTCCCGAATTTTCAATAATTATACTCATTACTAGCCCCAATAATAGCCCCAAAATTCATAGTTTATTTAAATATTCAAGACGTTAATTATTATCCAATACTAATAAAACAATATCTTTAACTATCCCTGAAATGAATTTTCCCAAAAAACCGAAACTCAACAAAAACAATTAATAAACAACAATAACTTAAGAAATAATTTTTCTCATCGAAAAAAAACTTAAGAATTTTTTTTTTCATTTATTATTCAACCACAAAAAAATCTTCGAATGTTCCCCTAATCGATCGTCACAAAAAAAAATTAAGAAATCGTGAAAAACTCATTAATAAGAAAATAAAAAAAAACATTTGATTATTAAAAAATGATAAAATTTTGCAGCTGCATCTACAGGGCGATGAGACAGCGGAGAAATTATCCCACAGTGTCTGCTGTCTTCTGGGATACTCAAGCATGGATGGACTCCAGGCTCCACTGATAAGCCTGAATCACCTGGAGCAAGATTGCCAGGGCGGGATGAGGCCGAAGGTGTCTCGTTTCGAGAGCACAGACACTCCCCTGTCAGCCCTGACTCTGGACCGTTCTTATTCGATAGGAGTCGAGCTGGAGATGTCTGGGTTGATAGTGAAGCCCACGGACAACACCCACCAGGAGGAGCTCAAGTACTCCCTGAAGGAGCTCGGCAAGGGCATCCTCAGTCTCGCCAAACTCGAGGACGGAAAATCCTCCCTGAGGATAGAACCTGGACTCATCCTCGACACCATCAAACGCGCCCAGGAACGGGGCTACAACTTCGTATCGAGAGTTCGTTTTCCACGGTACATCAATCCTTACTCCACTGTTGAATTGTACTCGACGTACAAGGCCAGGGGAATGTACCTCCTCAACACCATCACCAAGAGCGAATACCAGAACTCTGAAACGTACTGGGCACATGCTGCACTCTCCAGCGATGGAAAACACATCGCTCTCGTGTCTCTACAGTACGTCGTCTCCCAGTTTTCCCTTTCTCTCTAAAAGTATTTCTTCAATAATTTCAATAACACTTTTATTGTTTATTCAAAATGAATTTGTTGGGGAATCCAAGATTTTTGGGAAACTGTCGATTTTATCTCTAGGATTTTATTGAGCATTCACATTTTCATATTTTTCCAGGAAAATTTATCTCCTGGAGAAGCGATGCAGCATCTGGGCATCCTGGAACGTGGCGTGGTCTATAGAAACGAAAGAGCTGACAGAGGCACCGACCATTTCAGAAAATAAACTAATTCTCCATGTAAATAAACCACAACAGGTATATACCCCTTCTCAAATTCGCCCTCGAAAAATGAAAATCTAAAAAATAACGAATCCCCACAATTGTTCTGATTCCAGCCCCAGATAATGTCCCAATCACCTCCAGACTGGTACCTGGAGTGCAACGACATAACGACCCTGGAGTGGCTCTCGAAGAAGATAAATACTGCCATGATCCTGAACCTGATAAACTCTCGGTGCAGAACAGTCTAATCCCTCTCTAAAAAAAAATCAACTCCCCAAAAAAGCCCACCCCCAAAATTGACAGTCATATAATTGGATAAAGTACATCTAGTTTATTTCATAATTTATTTACAAAAAGTCTTAGTAAATTACACTTACAGGCATCTCCACTCGAAACTAAAGTAAATAATTTAAGAGCTACACGTATTAAGATGTCTATAGAGTAGGATACTTTGGGGGGCTGGGGAGTAAGCCAAGATTCAGGGAAACGTGTATGTTGTGTTATCCATTAATATCCTCCGAGTTTCGTTATCGGTTCCTATTTTTCCCAGAAAAAAAAACAATAATCACTTAAAAAATTGAAGAAATTAAAGAAATAAAAACCCATTGAATCCTCCATCGGCGCCACACAATGAGGAATGACAGGAAAAAATAATTGATTCACTTGCATAAAAACAAAAAAGATAAAGAATAACTCCAGAAAAAAATAATGATCCACTCCAATCGATTCGAGGGAAAGGAAAAAAAAAATGCAGTAGAATTAAAAAAAAAATGAATCGACAAATAATGAATTAAAAAATTGCGTACATCCGTTGCTGGCCAAACGTCTAATTAAATGAGAAATAGAGATCGTCAAAATGTGTGTGTGTTGTGTGTGTATATAATATATATAATATAGTATGTGTTTATATATCTCGCACTAATTACACACATGTACATGAAAAATGCTGTACATGCGTGTAATTATGATGATAAAAAATATGCAAATAAAAGGCTAGCGCTTGGCCCATTTTTCCTCTGAAAATTTCTCATCAACTATCGACAGTGACCCCTGCCCTTTCCTCAATTAATTAATGCCTGTTAAATGATGAAAATGGAAAGAAAAAAAAAATCTCTGACCTCTACAGCCCGCAAAAGCCTACCGAACGACAATCTTCCCACAACTCCGTAAATTCTCACCCTCATTTAAATAATTCCCCCAAAAATTATTTGGAATCGTCAAACGATCTCTCCAACTCAAAAAAAAAACATGATTTTCATTTCCTAGAATTCTACACACATATTTAACACTCACGCACTCGTGCCCCTAATTAATTCACCTGCGACTCATAATTTATCTCTCTGCAGAGCCCCAACCACTCGATCACTCCATTATAATCAACTCGTTCCCATTTTCCACTCATCAGAATGCAGTTGTCATATCTTACAAGAACAAATGGAGAAATAACGACAAAGAGAACTGATGATTTAAAATAAAAAAAAAAATACACAAATTCATACAGTGAAATGAGTAGAAAGGGGATGACAATTCTCTCAAGAATTCCAAAAATTCTCTCGACCCTACCTCTCGCACTACCCATCACTCCAATTAATATATATATTTTTTTACAGACACCCGACAATTCATTTTCTCACCCCCTACATCCTCTACCTTCCCTACCTCCCCTAACTCCCCTAACTCCCCCACCTGCCCTACCACCCCCAGTCACCCCTCACTCTTCCAATTAATGACGACATAAGCAGACACACTAAACAAAAAAAAAATCCCCATCTCTCAATCCTGCGCTTTCAGCGCAAATCCACGCATTTCCACACACAAAAAAAAAAAATGATAATTCCCTTTTACCCTCAAGTCGTGAATCAAGTCCTCTGCAGGATCTCCCCATCGAAATTTTCCCCCTGATCTCCTGAATCCTCTCGTATTTATATCCCTCATCCTCAAATGGCCTCCAGCCTGTGCTTTTTCCCTCCTCGTGGATTTCGAAAATGAAAAATAAAAAAAAAAAAAAAGTCTCCACTCGACAATTCACATCAGGAGGGAGAGGGATCGAATTCCAATAATCCACCACAGTAAATTAATTTACGTAAGAATTCAATGGAAGTGTAATGTTATCTACAAAATATACTTAATTACTCGCTAATTACAGCACAAAAACATGCAAATGTAAAAATTTGCATTAATCATATAATCGTATTATTTATAATCGTCAGCCGATATTAACTCCAATCATAATAATATTCTCATCTCGAACTACCCACCCCCATCAATAATCGATCAAAATCAATCAACTGTGTCAATTGGTATATCTCCTCGAATAATTCCCCCCCCTCAGTGATAAGATTCCTCCCTAGTATTATGCAGACAATTGCTCCAAGGTATCACCCAAGTCTCCCTCAATAACTATGAAATATATCTTACACTATCGATATTTATTCCAATTTTTCTTCACGAATGAAAATGGTATACGAATGATCAAGATCCATCCACTCGTATACCCAATGCGCTAACACCAATAATTAGCATTTTAACGTTATAATAATAATATTATTATGTATTTATTGTTTACTTAATAATTTTTTTTATTCTCTTACTTAACTATTCAATATTTTTTTGTATTTTCTTCCTCATTTTTTTTTATCCTTCGTGTTTGCCTTATTACCTTTTTTTTTTCGTTTAATAATTACGTCATCCCGTAACTCGATACAAAACTAGAACAACTGCTGTGCCGGATGTGGAAAAAACGCTAAAGGATAATTCACTCATCCCATTCACAAAGTATTTTTTGTTTTTCTTTTTTTAAATCATCGGCATTGATGTTCCATCGTGGTTAAACTCTTTTTGGCCGTTTAAATCATCACCCTGGGGTTATTACCTCACTATAATTCACTCAAGTGTTCAATATCCCCAGGAATTCACCTCGACATAATCAACAGGACCTCGAAAACGACTTGAGTTACGTTCCAGCCCCCCTTGAGCACTGGAACAACACCCGAGCAACGATAGCAGCCACTTGTTGATCGAGAATTTGGCTCATAACAAGAGCAAGTAAACGAGATTCGTGCTGCAGTAGTAGAGTTCTGTTATCAGGATGTCGAGCTAGATTGAGTAGTGTACCAGCTGCTCGTCTCAGCATATCAAGACTCGTGCCCATTGATTCAGGATTTTCCCGAAGGGCAGCAAAACCATGCTGATTGGCAACACCAAGTGCCGAGCTCTCGGCTTGCTCTATAAATGCAACAAGTAGAGCAACACACGGTGTCTGGAGAGCTATTGTCCTAGCAACACCCGAGTCAGCAGCTGACAAAAAGTGGAGTAAATTAACACCAAATTCACGAAGCACCTGCTCCTCACTGCGACACAGTAGCCTCGTCAATACAGAACACAGTCTCTGGAGTCTCGAGTAAGGTGGTGTTGCAACAACAAGATCAACATTGCTCTCAGTTACACACAATTTGCACAATGCCTCAAGAGCAAGTCTCTGGGGTGATAACGACGATGTCATTGTCACTGTGGGAAATGGATCTTGTCCATGAGCTGCTGGACAAACTGCCCAGTGTAGGAGGCCATCTAATACTGGACGCGATATCTCCTCAGGATGTTGACTGAGATCTGTGTATCCAGCAATATTTGCTGCCATCACCAATACATTCTCACGTATGTGATAAAGAAAATCCCACCACCACTCGTTCTCACCCTGAAGACTGCTGCAGGAGTCAGCAAAATCAGCGTCCTCCTCTCTATCGTAATTCCTCGTCTTCTGGGTTCTCACTGGATGCTCGTGATGCAGCAGCAAAAGTTTACCAAGGATGCTGAGAAAAGTGACGTTTTTAGCAAATTCAAGCTCATTACCTGGTATGAATGTCAAATTCCTGAGAATTGTCGAGAGACAGACACATCGTCTTGCCAGGCTGTCCTGTGACTCTGTTACGAGGTAGAGACTCGCCTCGTCCCTCGAATAACTCTCATCCTCGTAATCACTTATTCTTCTTCGCTTGAGTGTACCAGCTGGATCCTTTATCTGCAATCTTGGTCCCTCCTTTTGGGCCTCTGGCTCTTGTCTTTCCTCGTTTTTCCTTGTTTTATCCTTGAGCTCATCGTCAGAGTCATCGGTCTGCTCACCCTCGTCATCGGGTCGCGGTTTTTTCTTCTTTGCTCTTCTCGTCGACTCAATTTTGTGATCATTCTTATCATCATCACTCATATCTGGATCCTCTGTTTTAACTTGAGGATCAAAGCTACTCGTCGAGTCACTCAGCCCATTGTGCGTTGGAAAGTTGTTGTCCTCGGTCTTGGTAAACTCCACTGGATGCTCTCCCATGTTGTTGTTCTGCTTTCCCTCTGGCTCGCAGTCTCTCTTTGAGCCATCATTCTTCTTCTCAAAGAGCTCTCGTGTCAGATCATTCATTTCCACTGGCTCTTTCTTTATCCTCGATAGAACGTCACTCAGTGTTCTTGGTTTCTTCTTCTTCTCGAGGTGGAGGTGTTGGGGTGGCTGTTTAGATTTTAAATCGCCATTCTCCTTCGACGACTTATCCAGGGGCTCTGGACACTTGGGTAACGACTCATTCGTTATCTCCGGTAGTTTGTCACACTCCTGGTGCCTCGAGTCCTCCTTCAACTCCAGGGTCTCCACCTCCTTCTGGAGAAGTGGTGGCTTCTCGTCACGTAAGTGCCTGGCAAATGGTGCCATTCCAATTTCAGACTGGAAACAGGTGATTATGTATTTAGTATCGTTAGGATCGACCTGCCAGGGCTCGCACTCGGCGTCGGTATCCAGGTGATCCCATGGCCGACGATTGTCAAGTACGAAGATGTCGTCGTCACGTGGTACCATTTTAACAGGTCGACCACGACGTGATAGGAAGGTATAATTCGAGGTCGTCAGGAGTTTCGTTCGATCCTCGGAGTCTATTGGCCTTGATACAGCACCCAGATCAACCTCGGGGATATCGGAGGTCTTGTCCCAGTGGTCCTCCTCCAAAGTCGACGACTCGAACATATCCGATAGCGAGCGCGAAAAGTGCTCCAGCAGCACGTCCAGGAGACCTGGCAGGTGTGTCAGGCCGAAGTAACTTACCTGAAATTTTTTATATGACATTGATTAATTGATTAATATTAATTGATTAATTGCTGATGACAGATTAGGCAGATATTTTGGAGTGCTCTTCAAAAAAAATTATGTAATCAACTCACCGAGCTGTCATCGAACAATAAAATATTTAACACATCGAGGGCCCAACAGCTCTCAGCCAGTAGACCTGAGCGCAATGCCATCATGATTCTCCATGCCTCCACTGGTGCTACGTCACTCCTCGCTAATTTACGTCTTTTGTAGAGCAACGGTGTGACAGCCTCCACGCTGTCAGGTGGGAATGTCATTTCTCGTTTGGGCGCCGTTTGTTGCGTTATCATTGGATTCATGCTCAGCTGGCCCTGCAGAACAAACGACCAATGAAACAAAAGACGTTAGAAGAATTCTGGGTTGATTCGTTACTAACATTTTTCAGAAAAATCGAAATTTTTATCGAAGAATTCATTGTTAATTAAGGTTTTAATATTCAATAATTATCGATCGATATTTAACCCCAAGCATGTAGAAATTAGTGGTCGAAAGTTTGAATTCAATTAACTAATTTTTTTTTAAGAGAAAAAATCAAATCAGAATTATCAAACAATTCATCATTAATTCGTACTTTAATTATTCAATAATTATTACTTGATGTTCGCCCCCAAAATTGTATAAATTATTAGTGGAAATGGTTCTTAAAAAATAATTTCAGAAAAAGTCGAACCAGTCTTTTTAAATTTATTACTAAAATGTAGAATCATTTCAGGAGAATCATCGAAGATCTCTAAACGAACAATTAATTTCTCCTTTTGATTTCAGTGTCTTTATCAATAATAATTCCCAAATATAGGAAAATTATTCAATTAGTGTCAATTACGACTTGATAACGAGATGTATAAATAAATCATCACATGTTAAAAATTGAAACTATAATTCATTTTTTTTACTTAGATCATTAAAATGCTGAATAAATTCAGCAAATTCAAAATTCCAGTGAAATCAATCAATTAAATATCTTTATTTAAATTTTTAAATGATTAAGATGATCGATGAATTCCCAGAAATGTAAAAATTCTTGAGTACTCATGGATAATTGGTAATATTAAAATGATTATTAAAAAAATGAAGAGACACGAACCAGCAGCGACGCCCTCACCTGATGTGAACCAGGTGGTGGATAGAGTGTCGAGGCTTGATGGGGGTAACGATTGTCCCAAGGTGGTGGTGGTGCATGTGGTAATGGATTTATACTAGGCTGTGAGGATGGCCTTGCTGGCTGTTGATTACTTAAGTTTGGCCACGGTTGATTACTACTAGACATTGTCACAGGTCCACTCGGTGGATTAGCCGATACACTTTGGGCTTGTGATGGTGGCTGCTGTGGTGGATGTGCCTGATGCTGTTGATGGGGCGAATGTGACGGATGCTGCTGATGCTGATGAGGCGGATGTGGCTGCTGTTGAGTGGGTGGTGGTGGTGGTTGTTGATTTGGATATGGTACCCTGTTGTTTGCACTTCCAGTTACCTGATTATACTGATTACCACCACCTGGCCAGCCGGGGTAAGGGGGACGTTGCTGATTGTACTGGGGATACTGCTGATCTTTGGTAAAATCTGGATGTCTTCGTGGCTGGGTTGGCCCTGGGGGAGGGGGTGGCATTGTCTTGTTTGCACCACCTGCGTCAAAACACAATTACAAATTAAAAATTCATTTTATTTTATTCCAACATTAGTAGATTAATTTCTATCAATACTTATAATTTGACATTCATTTCCTTTTTTTTCCACTCTTTCTCCAAAAAATGTCCATTATATCTCAAATATTAGATTCTAGAGTTTCTAATTATTTTGATACTCTTTAAAGTGTCTTCTAAATATTGAGAATTCAAATCGTGGATTCATGTTATAAATTTGCCCAGCGCAAATATAGAAAAAAGATAATGACACACCTGCTGGCACATTTGATGGGTACATTTGACCACCTGGTGGGTTACCATAGCCTGCCTCCTGTCGATAATAATCCTGAGGACATGAGTAGGTTGGATTTGCTGGGGATGGAGAGGGAGAGGATGGTTGGCTCGTCGATGGGGGCTGGTTTTGAGCTGGCTGGGGATAATTCGCTGATCTGCCTGGGGGTGTCTGACCCGGGGGATAACCCGGCTGCTGAGGACCACTGTATCTGTTGTACATATCTTGACCTGGCCCACTGTTTCCTGGAATGTTTCCACCTGGATATACCCTTAAAAAATAAACAAAAATCAATTTATTATTAATAATCACCAGTTGATCAATAATCCGCATTTTTCTTGTGTTTTTTTACTCTCTTCATCCCTTATTCTTTACTCTTCATTATTATCTCTAGGAAATAAAATTACTATTAATTTCCAAATTTCAGATATTTGAGTAATTAATCAATTAATTATTATTTAAATTTTATAAACGGTGAAAATGGATCTGATTGGAGTGAATGAGCGAATGTAGAGAAATATTGAAGAGTAAGAGAATGAGGAAAGTAGCTAGAGTATTTGATAATATGAAAAAAATACCTGTCAGCTTCAGAGACATATGGAGGATAATGAGATCTGGGTGAATACGGTTGGTTGAATTCACCCTGTTGATTCATTGGTCCCCCCTGTGGCCGAATATACTGCTCCTGGGGATAGTTCTGATACGATCCAGCATTCTGATAATTTCCCTGCTGCATACCCTGATGGGGCGATGGTGCACTGCTCTGACTTGGCGGCCTAGGTGGTGGTGGTGTGTACTCAGAGGGTGGTCCACCTTGATTACCACCCTGATAATTGCCCTGATAATTTCCATAGCCATCCATCGAGGCACTACTCGATCCAGCTGCTGGGAAAGAGTCTTGGGAATTAGAGGAGCCTGTGAAATAAATAAGGAATGATTTATTGATGAGGATGATGGCAAATAAACTCATGACAGCAATGAACTCTCCAGGATAATCCCAGAAAATAATTTAAATGAATGAATTGAAATGCACGACATGAGGGATACATGAAAATAATAATCTTCCATCAATAATTCAGTAATGAAGTATTAAAATCTATTATTATATTATTCATTACATGTTTATCTCGAAAATTATCGATTTTAGATGCAAACATCAAAGAACTTTCTCACAAACGATTAAATTTCCGTGAAGAAAGGTCTTTTTATGTTTTTTTCCGAAAATCACTAGTTCTTTAGATCAATTGATATTTAATATTGTTTAATTTTATCACTTTCCAAATTTGTGGCTTATTGAATTAATATTTACACACAAGGAAAATGATATTCACCTGGAGATGGAACCGATGCAGTGGCTTTCGTGCCCTTCTTCTTGGATCCAGCCTCAACTTGATTGATGATAGGCTGTGGATCGACTCCACCTCGATCAAAATGACACTCGTACGTCAGCAAGTGCTTAGTATAATGTTTACGAAGTGTGTAAGCTGCACTACTGCTTGCTCCAATGCCCAACAGTCCAGCAATATCCTTCCACGTCTTATTCTTCGTCACCTATTAATCAAAAATTATTTAACTCCTTCCAACTCCCCACGGATGGATAAAATTGAGAGAAAAAACATTCTACACAGAGTAGTAAAAATGATTCTTCAGATTCTTCATCAATACAAAAAAAAAAGAAATCAAACAAATTCATTTTCTTCGTTGGAAATGATCTTTGAAGTGACAAAAAAAATACCACAGTACTGTGGTATCTTTATTTCATGCAAAACAGTCGAAGAAAGGAATTTATAGATATTCTAAATGGGTTACCGTCTCATCGAATTTGTTATAATTAATGTTTTTCTATCTCCATCTCAATAATAGAATAATTCCATTTAGCACCCAGGTTTTTCGTAGGTGTCACGGTGTGTGTTAATTATCCAAACACCTTGTGAATAACTACTTCAAGGATCAACTGTTAAAAAATCTTCTCGTTTTTTTATTTTATCACAATTTTCTCCTTTCAACTGAATTGAAAAATTTCAGTATCGTATTAATTGAGAAATCATTCAGAGAGCTTGAGAGTTTAAAGAACTAGTCAATTCCACTAGTCAATGAAATCATGCTCAAAACGTGCGACAACGTGAAGTATAAAAAATTGATAAATCAAGTAAATAACTGAAATATTGAAAAAAAAGCGCGTTTGCAAAATTGAAATTCTGGAGTGAAGGGGCAAGAGTTTAATTTGACATTTTTATCAATTATTTTCTCTTCTCCACCCCCTCTCCACTGAATTGTTTCACACATTATTTAATTCATAGTCTTGGACAGAACACACTGAGCAAACGAGTAAACAAAGACTGAACAAAATAGCAGACGAGAAAATGGTAAAAAAAAAATCACAAACAAATGATTGAAAATACAGATTCAAGAGTAAAAAAACGTCAAGAACACCGAGGGCTAGATGGAACTACACTGCACCTTGCATACCTCCATGAAGCCCCCCCTTTCCTTCACGTAGAGGTAAAGACGAAACAGATCGAGGGGGTTCTTGGAGATGGTAGGACAGCTGGTTATCGGTGTTCTCCGTTCCTCCATGAATGACACTAGTTTGTCCAGCCAATTTCGTCGCTCGGGGGAGTCATCCATCTCGTAGAGTTTCGCCAGACTATCTGGCTTCTGAAAATTCATCAAACATCATCTTTAATTCATTAATTCGCAACCAGAGAAAGTGATAAAAGATGATTTCAATGATTCTTGGCATTTGACATAAAAAATGGTCTTTAAAAATAAATAAAAAATTCATTCAGGATTTAATTGCAATTCTCCAGTATTTACAACATAATTTAGAAATTTCCCTCTTCATTGGAGATTTTTTGAATAATTTTCTCCGGGAGCTGAAGTGTTTAATATTTTATAAACAGAATTAGCAGTATTTAAATAATATTTCACCACTTGAACACTGAAAACTGAATTTTAATCGATAAGTCAATATCTGCATGCAGAAATTTGAGGGATAAAAGTGGTGAATACGAATGTAATCTACATGAAATTGATTATTAAGTTCCACCCACAATTTCTGAATTATTTAAACGTTTCCCCCATTTCATCGCCAATTAGAGGTGAATAAAAATGAAGGTCTAGGGAGATTTTATATCAAAGGGAGCGGAGAAAATTCTATCAGCGTTTACAAAAGATGCACATGCTCCTGTACCTCCGTAATTGCTGGAAAATTCTATTTATTAGGTGGAACAACCACAAAGGATAGTTGTTTCTGGATTAGTCTGCAGGGTTTACATGTTATTTCTCGAGTTTGTTTTTGGCATATTAAAATAAAGTGACTGAGAGTAATTGGCGATGAGAATGAGGACGTGATTGCGGAAAATTTAAACAATTATCAAGTACTAGATGATTAATTTTATTGAACATAAATTTATTAACCTTAGATCTGTACGGGTCTTGAGGCACATGACTGTTAAACACCTGTAAATAATGTAAAAATATTTCCAATGTCAATTTTGTAGAATAAAACAATTGTTTTATAAATAGAACTAATTGGACACTTTGAACATTTTTCAAAGGATTTTGTAAATATTAAAGATATTTAAATATTTATGTATTCATTATTTGGTGGATATGTTGGAATTGAAGGGATATAGTGATTTTTTGCATTAACATTTTTTATAGAAAATGGTGAGAGCCACAAAAAAGGTATCTATGGAAATATTGTCATCTTCCTTCAATTCCAAGATATCAGCCAAGAACTAGTTTAAAAAAAAAAAACAATTTCAATTAAAAAAATTTTTGGTGAATCTATGATAAATATTCCATACTCGCAAAAATGAGAGTGTAAAATAGACTGAAATCACTGATTATTTGAAATAAAAAAAATGTTCAAAGTATCAAATAGCCTTACAAACCACAGATAAATAAAAAAAACAACTCACAGGACTAGCTGGTGTGCGTGACCAGCTGGGGCTGTTGATATCTGGATATTCCTCGTGTATCGAATTAATGCTGGCAGCTCCTGGTGATGGTACAGTGCTCTGGGGTGTAGCAGGATGACTGTGGTAACCACCAATCATGTCCTTTCGGATCTTTGGGGTGAATGCGGGATCCTCACCAGAGGCAGCTGATGCATTTGATAATGTGGACTGCTGTGAGCCCTCATCGATGCTGGTGCCATCAGGTCCAGTGGTAATAACCGACGTAACAGTACCACTGGACGTCGACGTGACATTTATAGCAGCAGTGCCCGATGCTGTTGTCGTGATACCACTGTCATTAGATGTATCAATATCCCCGTGACTTGTGGGCGTTGGTGCTGGCGCTGGATGGGAATTTGGAGTAGTACTTGGTGGTGGCATGGGGCTACCCTCGTGATTCAACGGTGGAGTGGCAGCTGGTGGATGGGGATGTTGAGGATGTGAATGCTGTGGATATGGATGTTGAGATCCTTGATGTGGTGGATGATGTGGATGCTGTGGATGTAGATGAGAATGCTGTGCATTCTGGGGATGTTGATGCTGATGTTGAGGTCCTTGTGGACCACTTGACGATGGGCCAGGTGGTGGTGGAGGTGGCGGAGCTGGTGAGTGTTGCTGTTGCTGTTGCTGTTGTTGCTGCTGCTGCTGCTGCTGCTGCTGTTGCTGCTGTTGCTGCTGCTGCTGCTGCTGCTGCTGTTGTTGTTGTTGTTGTGAATTGCCCACATGATTGGGAGATGGTGGTGGTGGACCCATTGAACTCGCGGGTGGTCCCATATTGCCAATACCACCAGTTGGCATTGGGGGATTTGTGGGACCACCTCCACCGTAATTAACACCACCCTGGGTAGGTGGAGGTGGTGGTGGACCGGGGCTTGGTGGCATACCAGGTGGTACACTGTTGAAACCCATTTTGTGGGGATAGGGTGGATATTGCACCAAATTATTTGGTCTGGCCGGTTGATACTGATTGTTGGGAGCTGGTGGTGGATGCTGGGAATTCGTTGGTGGTGGATAACCCTGACCTGGAAATGACATGTGGGGTCTGGGTGGTGGATAACCTGGGCTCTGGCCTGGATAACCACCTGGCTGTGGTGCATTGCCACTCGTTGGATAACCCATACCACCACCACTCATTGGACCCATTGGTCCACCAATGCCTGTTGGTGGTGTTGGTACTCCACTGCTGTTTAATTTATAACCGTGCATGTGTCCAGATGGACCAAGTGGCTGCTGATATCCACCCTGTGTTGCCATTGGTGAGTGACTCATTCTCGCTGGACCACTACCATCAGACTGGCTCGACGATGGCCGAGGTGGCATCTGGACGTTTTGCTGGCCAACAGCTGGCGACATTGATCGTGAACCTGTCGAGCCGGTTGGTGATGGTGTTGGTCTCATCCCCTGGGAATTTGGCGTTCCTGGACCCGCCGGTCCGTTTGAACTGTCATTACTGTTTTGACCGGAGAGTTCCTGAAACAGAAATTTTTATTTTAGTCTACTTTTCATTATTTTTCTCATTCATTTCTTCATTCATTCATGAAAAATTATCATTTCTGTTTTATTTATTGGATTTCGTTGGTATATTCATTCAGATATTTGACTGATCATTTTTGGGGGAGGGGGAAATCTGGAATGAAGGACAACTGGAGAAAATTTATTTTAATTCATGAGAATTCGTTGAATTGTGATGGATTTATTAGAATTACTGGGATTTGGATGGGAATATCCAACGGCTCATTGAATTAAGCGATTTAAAAGTGATTGCTTGAGCCAATTAATTGCAGGTGGGATTTTCGCTGGTCTCTCAATTTCTCAATTTCTCAATTTCATGGAAGAGATTTTTTTTCAGTTATTGTCTTTATTCCATTAATTAATCCTGCACAATATTCGTGAGTGTCCACACATTCCCTTTCGGAGCAGATGTTCACATTTCAGAGTAGAAGTCTATCCCAGAAATATCTTAACCCCTAATCACAAACTGAAACTCTATTCAAACAGAAAAATACAATTCTAATCCCGAAAGCAAAATAATCCAGAGTATCACCCTTATTATTCGAAATTTCACAGAACCAAGGTTATCTGAGACTCTCGTGACACATTTAAAGGAATCGTAAGCAATTAATCAATTTCTATACCATCATGCTCAATATAAAATAATTTAAAGAAACCTAGAATTCAATCGTCGAATTATTTTGGAGCAGACGTCTTCACTGCCATCGATTCCCTCTCTCCAAAAGCATCCTAACCCCCAATCACAACAAAAAAAAATTCTCCTCACCCCCGAAAAAATCCCCTTGAACCCCAAAAGCCGTGAAAAACCCTCCAAAATCATCAGCACAAAAAAAAACCAGTCTGTACCCCACCAACCCGATAAAAGCATGTGATCCCGAGTCCCCCAATCCCCTCCCACTCATTCCCCAGGTTATGTTACCCCCAAAAATCCACCCCAACACCTAAAAAAAGTAAAAATAATTAATTAACCTTAAACAATCACCTCGTCCCCAACAAAATGGCAACGTTCCCTATTCCTCGTTACCGGATACCCATCGCCCCAGTCTCATTCCCACCAAAAAAAAAATCAGTTAAAAAATGATATTAAATTATTTACAAAAAAATTAAAAATAACGAATGACATGAAAATTACCTCATCAATCCCTCACCAATACAGTACATGGATAAATAATAAATTTTAAGCGTAACCCATGTTTCATGTCGTCGTTCACTGGTTTTCTCTCAAACACGCCTCTTTCCTTTCTCTATCCTCCTCCCGCGATTTATCTGTCCCTCTCACTCTCAAAGTCGCCCCACTCCTCTCTCTCTACCTCAATTGAACTCCAAGGCAACAGATAATCATCGATAAATCCAAAAAAAACACAAAATAATTCATATCACAGTATCGATCACAATCAATAACACCACTGACTACCGGATAATCCTGACACCTCCACCCCCAAAACAATAATTCACACAAATAAAATCCATCCTAGATGTCTGTCTCACTTTCGTTGCCTCGTGAACGTGCGTGTCCTCGAGATGACGCGATTCACGTTCCACATAACTCTCAACAACATTTATTCAACAACATCAGTAAATACCCGTTAATAGCTGATTCCAATGATTCCAGGGGATTTTAATTGGAAGAAATTGGGGGTGAGTAAATGATTATTGAGGGCCAACAAAGGAGGTAATCCAACTGGAGATTAAGGTGAACACTTCACAGAGCCCCCCACTTATTCTTTTTTTAGTTGTTTTTAATCCACTGGGAGGATTTGCCACGGTTGCACATCGACATTTATCTGTTGTACTGGTCAAGTCCTGGTGAACACGATGGAATACGATTGTCCACTGGTGACTGGGGTAAGATAATTGATCACTTTGGTGATGGGGACATTTTGGTGACGAAGGATTCAGCCCCTCGTTTTCGCAGTTGTGGGGAACAGACACAGGATAGTCAGACACTAGAAGGCAGCAGTTGTCGTCACCAACACTACCACCAACACCAGCTCCGCGATTGGTGTATCATCGCTCTTCTGGGTGTTTTTTTTTGTTTTTATTGTTTTAATTTTGGCTTTTGATTTTTGGTTTTGAGGTGATCGTCATGACTGGCACTCGAGGGAGAGAATCGACATTTTGGGGTGGAGGGAGGTCAGGGAATTTTGGGGTTTGGGGAAAATACCGGGTTATCAGACATTTTTTTCAAGCTCCAGGTGATGATTTTGATGGGGTCATCGGGCCTGGGGATCTTTCGGGCTTTGGCATACCGATTTCAGGATTTTTCTTCGATTTTTACGAGGTGAGGGCGTTTTTTGTGGTTTTTCTCTTTCCGTTTGTGACTCTGTGGCTGTCGTGGCGCCGCTAGCGCTCGGCACTCGTCGGGAATTGTCGGATTCGCCGCGAGGGAAGATTTTGGAGGGAAAATTTGATTTTCGGGGAGGATTTAACGGTTTTGGTTTGAGGTGGGATTGAGACTTTATTGAGAAAAATTGAGATTTTAGATAAAACTAAAGAGAATTCTTTAATTTAGAATAAAAAAATTGAGATTCATTTTTTTTTCTCACTTTCTTTTATGTATTTGCGATTAAAAAGGGGTTTACGATTTTTGGATGGAATCGACGATTTTTGAAGTGAATTGATAATTAATAAAAATCGAGTTTTATAGAAAAATTTAATTTCGAGGATTTACAGTTTTGTTTATTAAGGGGTCAGTGAGGAAATTGAGGATTTTTCTGGGATAAGGAAACTTTCCGTTTCAATCGAAATCACAGAAACCAATTATATATGTTATGAAAGATAGTAATAATAATAACGATTTTATGATTTAATTAACACACCGCATTTGAAGTATTTGTTATTGACTCCATGAAAAAACTGAATTTTCCAAAAATTGAACTTCAAGTCAACAATTGTTAACAACAATGTATATTCCATATTCATATACTCAGTATGTAAAATATTCACTTCTAGTTCCAAATATTCTCCAAAATAATCCCTCAAAGCCGCCAAATTTTGATTAAACAGGAATTCCATAAAAAAAAAAATAACAAATACTCCAATGACCTCCACTTCCCTATTTTTTGCCTATCGATCATCAAAACTTCAAAATGCCATGCTTTCAATTTTTCAACGGCTCACACCTTAAATATAGACAGATCGAAGTGATTGAAATTTTGATAATGATTTTCTAACGCATCCGATGACAGCCTGTGACTAAAAAATTTTTCGAGATATTTCCGATTAATTGTTACTGAGACGAGTTTTAAAAAATAATCGAGACAAACCGCTGTTTTTTTTTCTTACAGGCGGTACGCAATAAATGTTTTGCCGGCCTCCACCCCCCACCCCTCGACATCAACTCGGCGCCATGTTTTCCGCCCCCCTTTCTCCTCACTTCCCCTAGCTAGGAACGACTTCCCCTACCCGGCTTTGTTTTCGATTCGCTCATGTGCAGAGAACATAGAATTCAGGATGCGAGTCCCAGCATCAGGAGTAACAGATAATCTTTGTTTGAGAAATTGAGAATGATCTCGAGGGGATGCAGATGAGTAATGAGCAACAAGAGGCCTGATGTTGATGATAATGAGCGATAATGATGATGAGGAGAAGGAGAAAGAGGTGACGACGAGGGTAGAGCTGTATCTTGTACGATGTTGAATATGGTCTGACCGGATGGTGGGATTTGCACGAGTGATGGCTCGTTTTGAAGGGCTTCCGGAGACCTTGAAAAGGGGATTTGATTTTCCGATTTTCACTCAGGCAATCTCGAGATATTTGAGTTTGAACGAGAATCGCTGTCCGGAGATTTGAGAATTCTGGACAGTGATGGGGTGGAAGATGGTTCTTTAACCCTTGAATCAACGACGCGATTTGGATGGGTCGGGTTTCATTTTGAAGGGCCATGAGGTCTCTTGAAAAGGGCATCAGTTTTTTAGGATTCCACTCAGCCGATCTCGAGATATTTGAATTGGGAACGAATCGACTTCTACGATCTGAGAGTTTTGAAGACGCAATACCGCGCAAGTCGACCCTTGATCGAAGGTTCAGTTTCCAAAGACTGAAGATGATCCTTCAATCAGCTATTTTAATCACCAAAGGGTCAGCGAGTTTTTTCGTGATGATTGCGGCGCGGGATGCAGTGATGAACAAATGGGAAATTAATTTTCACGATTATTGATCGGTCCGGGGAGCGGAAGGGCCAGAGACTGGGGTAAACGATCGGTTTCCAAGTGCATGAAATCGGTTTTCTAATTTTTTCCTCCAGATTTCGGACAATTTGAATGAATCAATCATGAAGATCTGATGAGTGATAATACAACTTCCTGATTTTTTCGCTATCTCTCTATCTTTTCATGATCTACCCGGATATCAGCGTCTTGGAACGATCGAAACCTCGAGTCAATGAACTAGAAGTCACCGGAGATAATTAACGAGTGGAATTCAAGAGTAAAACGAGATCTTCCGATTTTTTAGGTTTGATAAATACCGATTGATCTAGTAAACAAGTGGCTTTAACAGAAAACATGAAAAGATCTAATTTCTTGAAAATTTACTCAGCTACAAAAAAGTTCTCTGTGATTTTTTCCTCGAATCGATGGATTCCGAGATAAATCGATAATTCAGTTAATTGCAGTTTCGAATTTTCATTTAGTCTTTAGTAGTTCGAAGCTGATGTTTTCTGTTAATTAAATTGAGAATGCAAATTAATTTAATGATGAAGTCAAGAAATTCTTCACTAATTAGAAAATATCACGGGTTTTTAATGAAATAATTAATCTGTTGGAATTATGTTTCAATGAGGGACGGGCAAAGTTGTAATATAAGTTAATTCGATTTTACATTTTTATTAAACGGCGATCGATCGAAAAAATTATTTATTTCAGGGCATGTCAGCTAGACAGAGGATCTTCAACGTTTCCTTCTTGGATTGATTTTTTTATAATTTAATTATATAATTCATATATAATTAAAGCATAATCAGTAAAAAGGATGAATTCGAGGATTCTAATTATATTACTTTGCTATAGACTTGGAATTTAGAGATTTGACTAGATATTCCTCTTTTTTTATAAACTTTCTGTTGAATTATCAATGAGAATTGCTCAACTTACCCCAGAGTCAATTCCTTGAGTATTAGGAGTCGTCGATCGTTGCATATTGTGATAATTCTGTAAAAATAAATCCAGAGAGGCATTAGCAACGAAAAACAATTATTTCTTTGATTATAATTTCTCAATATTTCAAAGTATTTCTACCCCATGACTGGATTATGAATACTTCCAGAATCAAATAATTTGAAATCTTTATATTTTTCTTTTTAATAAATAAGTAATAGAACTTATTGGTCAAAATAAAAAAAAGGAATTTCAATTTTTAATGACAATGGAATGAAAAGAACTTTGAATATAGTTTTAAAAAAATCGTTTTCCATTTTTAATCGAAAAATCTTCAACTACCACAATTCCAAGCCGATTTGATCTATTTGTTGTAAAATATTCGCAAGACTTCAAGAAACGAATGATGGAAGGAAAGTGTTTAATTAAAAATTAACGCATCAATGCAAAATCAACTGAACTGAAAAAAAGGAACGCTTCAATGTTTCAGTGATCAATCCAATGATTCGTGAAACGAATGTCTGGGACTGAGAATCTAACGAATATTTTAGAAAACTCAAAATTTTAATCGACTAATGATTAAGCTACTTGACCGATTTCCAAGGCAAAAACCGAAAAACGTTCATTACATTGGTAAAATCGGTTCCAGTCTTATGTTGTTTCATTTTTTTAAATATCCCATCGTACATCATATTAGTAACGAAGTAGTAGACAAGGATAATTCCATTTTCCACGGGTTTTTAGGTAATCCCTCGGAATCGACGAAAGATAGTGATATTTTCATGGAAACCTTTTTCCCAGAGAAAAACGAGAGCTACAAAAAAGGTCTCAATAAAAATTTCGCTATCATCCTTCAATCCTGAGATAATCCCCAAAATCACATGGTATCCTTTTAATTTTATCACTCTTAACCGAGATGTTGCTCGAGGAGTTGGTAAATCTCGTAGAGATTTGAAGATGGATTGACCTGGTCTCAGGTTAAAAAGGATTCGTCACCTGTTGTTGTCCTGGTGTGGGCTGGGGCTGAGGGGATGCTGAGGGCGGCGGTGCTGGAGACTGGGACAGCGCACGCTGGGGTGATTGACTCGATGAATTTGCTTGACTTGGTGGTGGTGGTGGTGGGGCATTAGGGGGCCCACCTTGATTCCAGGCCCTTTGATCGGGGTACAGGCTCGGGGGGTGGCCTCCTTGTGACGCGTATGAATTCAACTGAAAAATATCAGGGGAAATATGTCTCATTAATTCTCCATTGGGGCAACTGCCATTATATTACTAAATCTCGAGGTACATTTTCATCAAATACTCAATCTCCTGAAAGACTCATTCCCTAATAACAAAAAGTCATTGAATGATTCTTTTCTCAGTAACAGAATTGCCAGAACATTTTCGTGGGGAGAATAATGCATTTTTTTCCGTTAAATCTTATGAGTAGTTTTCGAGCGCAAAATTAATGAACTGAGAGTTTTATTTTACATCAATTATGGAACTGTTGAACTTTATGTTTTCTAGTTGAAGAAATTAATTAATCAAGATTCAACATCTTTTCTGATAAATTTAGTACGTTCATAAGTTTTGTCATTAATAACTCATGAAAATTTTCGCATGACTGCGAACCTTTGTGAGCCATTAAATAATGCCAAAACCCAAAAAAATGTTTTTTCATGTCAATCCCATCGATAATTCGCCAGAAAACTAAATGAAAAGCGTGAATGGTAGGTAAAGGGATGTCCAACATCCTTAAAAATTGAAACCCCCTACGAAAGCGTTCTCTATTATTCAATAACAAATTCCAGTTGTCATTAATTCAACCGGTCGAATAAATGAAAATGATAGTCAACCCGTCCAGAATTGTCCCCGTGACCCAGAATAATACAAACAGCAAAGTGAATTTTGCAGTTTCGCTAAAACCCACCGAATGCCAAAAACTATTGATTTCACGAGAAAATATCAAGAGACGATATTTCTCGGGAATGCAATGATCACCAAAAAAGTCCCTCAACGCTTCCCCCAAGAATGGCTAGTTCTCCAGATAAATTGATCACTAATCCACAGTAAAACTGTGAAAACTCCGAAATTACCTGATGATGCCCATAAGGTGAATGAGGTCTAGCAGGTGATGGATAACGCGTCGTATACGGTTGATAGGGCATAGGAGTGGGAGAGCTAGGTCCACCAGGTCCAGGATGTAGCCTCGGAGATCCCTGAAACAGAAAAAGTCAAATAAATCCGTGAAATCCCCAGAAAATGAAAAAAAAAATCCTGTACACTCCCTCGAAAATGCCTTCCCCTTGCCCAAGCAAAGAATGAAAAGCCGGTATGATAACCCAAACTCGAAATGAACCAGAACCCTTGCCCACCCCAAGAAGAACCAGCGACAAATAATGACATATAGAAGAAATGAAAATTTACAGTTTGCGGTGGTCGTTGACTGGGTTGTGGATAAACCGGAGGAACAACAGGAGGTCTCTGCATGGGCCAGGGCTGCTGATAAGACTCAGGTGCAATTCCCGGATAATTAGGATGAAACCTGTGTGGAGAACTAGTGGCCTGAAGCAACTGATTCAAGGTTGGTGTAGGTCCAGTGGCCTGTGATATACTCTGACCAGACAAGAACCTGGGCTGTCCCGGAAAACCCCCAGGAACAATATGACCAAGTCTTCCCTCAATCTTGGATGAATAATGCTCATCCATCTCCGAATGATGCCTCTCACTCTGTCCCTCACTGATACCAGGTTTATGATAATCCCCAGGTGGCTGTTTACCCCCAAACTCACTAGATTTACCAGGATAATCATCCTGATGATACTCCCTCGACAAATGCTGGCCACCAGGTGGATTAGTCCCTGGATAATTAGTAGTATGTCCAGTATGTGGTTGATGAAGATTGTGGGGTGTGTGTGTTGAATGATGAGGAGGATGTTGATGCATTGGATGAGGAGCTGAGTGTTGTCCACCATGCTGACTATGTGTTTGTTCGTGCTGTTGTCCCTGTACCTGTCCATCCTGTTTACCACCATTACCCCCATCACCACTAGCAATACTCTGTACACTCTGTGAATTCTGTGGTCCATCACGCGGTGATTTGACATCACCAACGTTATGTCCACCAATGTCCTCACGATATTGACTCATCTCGTATCCAGTATCACCGTCACCACGATTCACATACTTGAGCAGCTGGGCCGCGCCCCGATTTATTTTATCGTTGGGCTCCTGCTCAAGCTGCTTATTAATACTAACACTTGCACTATTACCACTATTTTGTCCCCTTTTTTTATTACATTTCACTGTTTCATTGTGCTTTACATCGTTTTGTTGGCTCTCGGCTTGCGTAGCAGCCATGTTCTACCATCACGGTGCCATCATCCTCACTTTAACTGGCCAATGGGGGTTACACGTTCCCCGCGTACAATTTGCGTTTATCCTTATCGATGCGCTGATTGGTTGATACTGTACATTTACTATTAACACTGAATAACCCCGCATTATACGTTTGTTAATATTGGTTTGTTGGCGGCATTATTTTGGGTATTAATGGGATTCTCGGAGGCGGGCTTTACTCTCGCTTTGATGCACTTTTTCAGGGGGAAATTTTTGATTGGTTTTTTTTCTTTTACCGGGCATTTGGAGATTCGCTGGGTTTTTTATTTCACGGGATACTAACGTCAAAAGTAGCGTCGTAGGGGGGACGACATCTTGGGGAGGCTCGTGGTACTCGTCGTTACCCTGGGGTGTTCGTTCGTCAGAGGGGAAGCTGTTGGTTTATTGAAGGGAACTTATTTATCCAGGGAGACGTCGAATTTGGGTGTTTGAATATTTTGAGCCTATTTACGGTTTTGGGATCTAATGTTTTAAAACTATTTATCTATTAAAAATCGAGAGGGGAGAACGTTTTTTTCGAGGTCGGACGCTGTTTAACTGTTTTTTTTAGCCTTGTGTGTTTTCTGGGTTCTTTGCCTATTGAGAACATTTTTTTGTGCCTACTTGAGTTTCTAGAGATCCTACTAGTTTTTTAATGGGTCTATTAATTATAACATCGATAGTGCTAGGACAGTGAGTCGTCGCTTCCTGTTGACAGTGGTACAGCAGAAGTCCGGATTTGGCTGACTGAATAGTTTTTCAGTGAGCCTACTATATGGTTTTGTCAGCCTGCTAGATTTTTTATCATAAAACTATTATTTTGGGATGATCTTACTCATTTTTGGGAAAGAGTATTACTTTTCTACGGATGTAAACAAAATTTGTCGAGAGCCTTCTCCAAATATTTTGGTAAACCTACTAGCTCGAAAGGCATAGTATATCCACAAAAAAATAGGTTCAGCAATTTTGCGAGATATTTTTATAAACAAAAAATAGATATTATTTTAATATATTTCTCGGAGAACAATTCCCGGTGTCGAAGGAATATTTAATTGTTGAACAAGCCTATTAGTTTAGTTTAGTTAATTTATAAAATTGTTGAAAAAATTATCAGCGCCATCTGCTGGTGAAATTTCAAACTAGGCAATAAATTTTTCAACGGCTAGACCTCAATTCACCGCGTCTTTCATGACTGAGCTGATAAAAAAAATTTGTAACAGTAGTTCGATTTGAAAATCGACAACAAACGCGAACCGACAGGCATATAATCGTGATTTCTCGTTGTTGTAGAGTTGTGATCCGAATCTTGGGAATTTCAATGATTAATTTTTTCAAGAAGGATAAAAAATGTGCAGCAAAAATTTCGATGAGTATGAGAAGAAGTACTTTCCTAAGAATGAAACGCCAGACCATCTGTGCAAGGAAATGAAAAAATTCATCGCTAAAGCCGGGGTACATCCGTCAGTTGTCGAATACGGAGCCTTCAATAAAATGATTGGATTCTCAGCCATTGCGGTAATTATTAAAAACAATAGCTCCAATTTTTTCGATACACGAGAATTATTAATGATATTTTCGATTATAATCAGTAACAAAGTGATCATTATTTATTTTATTGGAGAAACCCATTTGATATTCTGTGATTTATCTAAAAAACTGTCGGTTTTGAGAGATTATTAATAATGACCTTTTTTGTGGAAAATTGAATGAACTCCAAAAATGTCTCTTACGTATTTTCCACTCACGTCTGTAGATCTCGAGATAATTCGATGAGTAAGAAATTTATTGAAATTTACTGAAGTAGTCAAACGAGGCAAGTCAGTTTAGCTCGTCGGTGATTTTATTGAAATATCTCCAAAATTATGCTATATACAAAAATTTTCGCTATTACCTTATTTATAGTTCTCGATTAGCTCTTAAAAAAAGATTCCAATAAAAATTTCGCTATCTGCCTTAGTTTCAGAGATATTAGACATATTTAACCAGTTCAATTCAGAAGTATCAATAATTAATGAATTATTTAATGCGATTAAATTAGATTCGTAATTATTATAGGTTGACGATGAAAAGACGGCGATAAATCATCTGATAGAGTCCCACGCCGTCCTCCACCGTCAGCAGGTAAGCCTGAGATACAAAAAAACGGAAATCCGTGGCAATTGCGGCTACAACCAGAAGTTCGGGGTGAATCCCTCCCACTTGGAGTTTAACGTCGACTGTCACGAGGGTCCAGATTCCCTGAAGGACAAACTGGCCGAACTTCCCAAGGAATGGTACATGGTCCAGTTGACACAGCCCTACAATCCCGGGAAATGGCAACCTGAGAACTCAAATTCAATTCATCCCCTTCACCTGACAGTTCTCCCTACGGGACCAGAGGCTATTGCCCCCTTCACCATCACTATTCCAGCTTCTGACAACAGCATGTACGATCTCTGTCAGGACATCAAGGACCTCCTGGGCACTAATAAATCGAGTCTGCAGGCGCAGTATGGCAATCACGCCATGTACTGGAAGATGAGACAGCACCAGAATAACAGGATGAAGAATGCCGTCAAGGAGATGGAGTACAAGTGGCTCAGGGAGTGGAGGATTCTGCTTGTCGCTGATCCTCTGGAACCCTCTGATGCCACCAGGGAGATTATTGCAGTCGTCGATAAACTCGTCACTGACAATCGCTTGATGTGAGTTTTCTGGTTCAACTGTTCGTTTTTTTTGGAGTTGACGAGGGTTTATTGATTTATCTCCCAAAATTGAGAGCTCAGAGAAAAATGTCAAATGAATTTCTTGTGATTCACATCCAGAGCTACAAAAAAGTTCTCTGATATTCTCCTCTGAAATCATGACTTCTCGAGATATTCCAAAATATGAATGGTTTGATCAAATCATTATGATAATATGGATAAATTAGAAAAATATTAATTATTGGTGATTTCTTCAGGTCAGTACTGTCCCCAAAGACGATGTGGCTTCTACGAAAAGTGGCAACAAGTGCTGGATTCCTCAACAAAGTAGAAATAGCGACACTAGTCACAGTAATTCTCTCTGGCCACAAGAAACTAGCCAAAAACATTATCCTCTCGATCATCAGTAAATTTTCCCTAGTTTGTCAACTACAGCAGGAGAAGAGAAAGACAACAGTGCTGATCGTGGACGAGGAAATCGACTATCTGCCCTTAGAGGCGATGGAGATCTTGCAGTATCACCCAGCAACTCGTTTCCCCTCGTTCCACGTGGTCTATGCGATGTTCAAGGAGCACGAGGACTCGATTATTGACGGCTGCAAGACCGTGAAGATCAACGACTCAAGTGGCATGGGCATCGTCAACCCCGGGGACAATCTCCCGAAGATGGAGAAACGTCTGAGAATTTTCATGGATTACTGGCTGCCAAATTGGCGAACCATCTACAACATCCTCCCCGAGGAGGACGGCCTCGCCAATGCCTTCGTCGATGCTCTCGTCAACCACGAGGTCATGATGTACAATGGCCATGGCAGTGGTATTCACTACCTCCCTGGGGAGAGGATCGAAAAACTCAGGGTCAAAGCTGCTGTTCTCCTCTTTGGCTGCAGCAGTGTAAAACTCCAGCCCATTGGAGGTAGATTTCCACCCTACGGAGTATCTAATCAGTATCTCATAGCTTGCAGGTGAGCATTTTTATCACTCCTCACATTCCTATTTCTCCATAAAATTTCTCCATAATTAATAAAATTCTTTCTCCAGTCCTTGCACCCTGGGAATGAATTGGGAAGTGACGGATCTAGATACCGATAGGATGACCTCCTTCTTTGTAAGTACCTGGATTCCCTCGAAGGCGGAAATACACTGGAAGTTTGTGGACTTTGATAAATGGGGCAATGGAAAATTTGAGTATAGATTCAATATCGAGAAATACCAAAAGGAACAGCTCAAGGACACATTTGAGCCCGAGATGCTGAGGGCTGTGTCCATTTCCAAGAAAGTCTGTCTACAATTTATGACAAAAGCTGCAGTTGTCGTCAGAGGACTGCCAATAAAAATCGAATGGTAAAACTCGTATTTTGGTATAGTATATTGTGCAGCAAGGGAGGAAAGCAGGGCGAGTTAGAATGCCCTATTTTCCTCCCTTGGTGTACAATATACTGTTAATAAAGTTGTACATTTTACAAATTAACAAATTCATCTGAAGATTCAATATAAAATGGATTTGTCCAATCGTTGGAGAGTGTTCTCAGGGAAATATGTATTTCAGGAATGAGTAGTCACATTATGACTTGGGGCTTAAAGACTGATGTGGCGATACTTTTGTGGGGTAACACTTGTCCGCCGTTGATGTACAACTCGTCCTTGACGATTACGTCCTCTCCTAGGACTGTGATGCCTTCCATCCGTACCCAACGTCCCACTACGCAGCTCCAGCCCACGATGCATCTGAATTTTCATGGGAGAACGTGAAATTGATGAGATTTTTGGGGGAAAAGTTATTCAGTGATAATTAATAGTTTCAATTGAGCTTTTTCTTTGCGATGAGATACATTTCGCGAGTTTTTTAGAAATAGAAATGGACAGGAGACATTTTAAACAATATTTACCCATCCAACCAACTGTGTTCTTTGATTCTGGCAGATTTGAGAATTGTTGAACGTTTTATACAGCATCCATCTGCTAGAACAACTCCAGGACCGATGATGACGTTAGGCCCTATCCGGCAGTTATTTCCAATGACCGCCGTTGGATCCACCAGGACATTCCCAATGACACCATCATTCAAGTACAATTTCTCAGGGCTTTTTTGTCTCAGTGAGGCCAAGTACAGGCACATCCCTTCGAAGGTCAATTGTAAATACGTTAGCTTTGTGTATTTTATAGTAAATATTTTTTATAATTGTCTATAACTGTTCATAGAATGAATTTTAAATTGAATGGAAAGATGGAGAAGTTAGAGGATTTAAGGAAAGAAGTTTGTGTGATTTTAGGAGGGGGTGAATAGTATTTTCTAGAATAAATTATTATATGGAATTGTGAGACATGTTGTTTTACCTTTAAGGAAGTCCTCGGGTTGTCCAACGTCCATCCAGAAACCCTGGAGCTCCATGGCATAAAGCATGTTATCTCTTGCCATTCCTGGAAACACCTCTTTTTCGATACTCATTGGCTTTAACTCGATTCTGTTTAGTATACTACTATTGAAGATGTAAATCCCTGAAAAAGAGAAAATGACTATTACCAAAAATTAAATTATTTTCCTATATTAAACGATTTGAAGAGTTTTTTTTCTTGAATGTAGCAATCATTCATTGACATAAAAAATCTATCGATTTATCTATCTATCAAAGACTTAATACCATAAGAGTAACAAATTATTCGAGAACGTAATTAATTTTTTGTTACCCGCATTTATTTTATTTGATACGAATTCCTGTGGCTTTTCTATGAAACTCTCGACCCTCCCCTTTTTATTGTAAAGAACCACTCCGTATTTTGATGGTTCCTCCACTTTAGTCACGACGATTGTTCCTTCACCACCGTGAGACTTGTGGAATTGCAGTAATTGCTTGAAGGGAAAATCACAAATTATGTCTGAATTGAGGACGAAGAAGGGCTCGTCGCTCTGTAACAACAGTTCCTTGGCAAGAGCTATGGGACCGGCAGTGCCTAGGGGCTCTTTCTCGTGGGAAAATATGAGATTGACCCCAAGTTTTTCAGCCTCTGCTGACAGCTCTTTCTCCATGTCTTCAGCCCGATAAGAGACCGCCAGAATAATCTCAGTTACGTTCGAAGCTACCTGGAGACGAAAATGATATTAAACGAGACATTAATTATTCTTTATTTATAATAATAATATTATCTTTTTTTTGATATTCCAAACGTTTTTATATGGAAAAATATATTTTATAGATAAAACTATGATATATTATGTATTGATTGGACTTTTAAAATTTTTTCCAAATTTTCTAAAACGAAAATCCAAATGAATGCTTCAAACTCAATAGAAAAATGTGTTTTCTTGACCGAAAATTATTCCACTTGACGAGTAATTGAAAGAGATTCATTCATTCGAAAAAAAGCAGACAGTCGGTTAAATTGAGCCCAGAATGAGGCCAATTATCAATTAATTCCCGGCTTCTAAAAAATTAAGAAATAAATTAAGCATGAAATCGCTGAAAAAGAACAACTCACCAGAGCCTCGAATTGATGCAAAAGCATCGGTTTATTAGCGAATTCCACTAGAGGCTTTGGCCTGCTGAGTGTCAAAGGGCGTAACCTAGTGCCATATCCTCCTACGAGGATAAGAGCCCTCAGAGGTCCCATTTTCTTCCTCTTCTCTGGTATTGATCTTGAAATTCTTTCAGCAATCCAACTAAACAATCGACTCACTACTCCAGATTCTGAAATTTAAATCGATTCCTTTAATACTTTTTGTTGTGGAAAACAATCTATAATTTATAACTATATATAAACTATAGATTCCTTGAATATAAAGGAGAGCATAATTGCTACCGTTCAAAAATTAAATTGAAGAAAGTTGGAAGAAATGAAATGGCTGCGAGAGTATCGAATTGAAGAAAATTCGAATCGAATGAGGGAAATGAGTGATAATTTCAAATAACAATTATAATTGGAGCTATTGAAAAATTGCATGCATATGGAAAAAATTATTTTCTCGGAAAAACTGTCAGTTTGCATGAAAAAAGTGTTCTAAATATCGCAAATATTCCAGTGACGATAAATCCTTATAATTTTTGCCTTCAACTCGACTATTTGTTGGAGACAAAAATTAGAAGGGTTTATCATCACTTAAGGAATGCCGGGAAAGATGAGCGGAATATTTGGATTATATGAAATTTCGAAATAAACGCCCTTTAAATGAAATTCAGTTCAAAATATTTTTAAAAATGTTATTCAGTGAGCCTAGCAATTGTGCATTAATACATCAATTATTTAAATTTCTAATTGAATAGGTAATGAACCGAGATGGATGACGATTTAAAAAAAAATGTACTCAATTCTATCATTTTTTCGTGTCACATGAAACCATATTAATAATATTTTGATATGTCATGTCAAATTTGATGAGATTCTAAATGAAGGATCAAAGTTTCTGATTAATACAATCTTCGAATAGAATAGTGAAGATCTATATAAGAAGAAAATATTCGGAACTTCAGTGGAAAACCATCAGAACTCCGCGGATCATTTGTCTTAAATAATTGAGACCTTTTACAGGTGAGTAAAAAATTGAAAATTGTCGGTCGTAAGAAATTTTGAAATTATTCTGTCAGATTCTCGAAAGAATTCCGCCATAAATTGAAAATGGAATTATTGGCAATCAAATTTGAATCACTAAGCCCAGATATTCAAAAAATAGAAAATCATTTCTTGATAAATTGTAAAATTGGTTCAATCAAATTAGATGTATTATTTTTGTTAATATTAGCATTCATGATCATGAGAAAGCTCATAAACAATCAATTATCCAGAAAAAATGAAATGGGGAAATGAAATGGAAAAAACAGAATAAAAAGGTGTCAACATTCCAACTGCTTTAGCGGTCGGGTGGCGCTGGTATAACTATAATCAATAAACAATAACTAAATCGATGGGTGAATAAATTAATATTTATAATTGGTTTCTGTAACTGGAATTAATTATTCTCTCAAACTCTCACCTCGATATCGTCTCGAGGTTCACTGTAACTCTATCAATGGAGTTATCACTTCTAATTGTTGATATAGACGTGTCAAAGTGCCACGTAGTTGTTCATAGACCAACTTCAGGTAGTCGGGAGCCAGCCTATTACAAGGATCGGGATAGCCTCTCATCCCAATAGATACAAACCAATCATTGTGTGTAAATAAGTTCCAGTGGTGACACAACACGTACAGTGGCGTGCGAATCGAATAAAAATGG